AGAAGTTCTACAACTTAGTTATTATAGACATTTTTTGGTTGCTGTTCTGGCAAAATCTTATTTTACTATCATCCCAGTGAATATCCCTGGAACAAACTGTTGCCTTTTAGGTGAAGACGGTGCACGGTAAGATAACTGGATTGCACCCCATCGCACCTTCTTCATGAGCAAGCAGGACCCATCCACACTGTTGGTATTCTGATCTGCCCTTGATCTGCCCCATTGCATTATGAAGTGGAATTGAGGGCAGGAGGGCTGAACAGGCTCTATTGTACACTGAGGGGAAAGAGTCATTGGGCTAAGAAGGTTTAGGTTACTGGAAGGAGGGTTCACTGCTGTGAATGGAAAGGAAGTAGAGGAGGGCAGGGCAGAGCCAACTGCTGGGCATAAGGTTGAATTAGAGTGGCCCACTCCACAGATTAGGTGACTGTCGAACAGAGCTCAGCAGGTATACAGTCCAAGACCTTCTTTGAAAAGGTCAGGCTTCATGGACTCCAAGGAACTTGCAATGGTGGATACTTTGACCTTTTTCCCACGTGGTGTCCTCCAGGTTCACCCAAACCTTTTATGAAATTTTTGTTTATTGCAAACACAAAGAATTTCATCTGGTATGGATGTTGATCCATGAAAAAGAAAAATTAATAAGTGCTGCGTTACCCACTGCCCTTTAAACCGCATTGATTCATTCAGTTATGCAACGTCTGAGTCTGGCATGCCAACTGGGGGGCACACGTAGACCGCCGAGGGCCAGTTTGGGTCCAATTGAGATGGAACACATTATCTAGATGTATCAGCCAACTACAAGAAACTTTATGTGGTTTCAGCTGGACCAGCATGTCTTTGTGTGTTTTAAGAATCTAGTTTCAGTTGAACTGAAACAATAAATCCATTTTTAACATCATATTAACACATTGACTGAGCTGGTTGACACGTAAATGCTTGAGTTACGTTGCTTTCAGAGTTCAGCTCCAAATTCATATATTTTTTATTTTGAATCAATGAGCTGTTGGCTCTTAAGAAAGCAGCTTCGGGGAGGGAAGGCCAAGTTTCGATGCCACCAGATAGCAAAACATTACCTCTGGAAAAGACTTTGGCTTGTGTGTAGCTAGTGCTTTCACTCTGACCAGGGCGTTGGGAATATTGGGAACCAATATAAACAAAGGGGTTACTGGGTGCATATTTTGCACAATTACATGAGAGGGACCACCCAACTTGTTATCAGTGGATTGCTCAATAGTGGTTTGTTGTTAACTTGATGATGTTGTGGATGGTACTTCTGGAAATACCCACAAATGTCACATCACTTTGGACACCAAAGTCCAGCGATTTCTTGTCTTCATGGTTAATCAATTATTCAGTTTTTAGTAGATTAACAAATTGTGATCAGTGGACTTTGTAAGTAGGTGTAGAACAAGTGTATCATTTGTCGTCATGTTATCCATCCCTGATGAATTGTTTAGAGTTCAAGTAAATGGGAAAGCAGGAGTGTTGGTGCAAAAAAAGAAACAAAAACTGCTGTATCAGGCCATCTGGATCTTTCCCACTTCTCTATCCAAGACATTTCCCAAAACATAAACCCAAGATAAGGATGCACCCCTGGCCCAGTGGGTCATCTTGTAGCTCTAGTGATTTTCCTTTTGTCCGTCTTTTCGTGACACTCTCTTTCACAGGTTAGTTAAGGGTATGCGTCCATTTACACAACAAGACGTGGGAGGTATAAAAGAAGCCTCCGCAGAGAGCCTTGGTGCTCCTTAATGGGAGCCCGGGGCCTGCCCTCAGTCCTGGTACCTTTCACACATCTTGCTCCCTGCCTCTCCAATTACTTCCACTGTCCTGCTGCAACAAAGACCCGACTGACTGCCCTCTCCTTCCCAGAACCTATCAGTGTGGATCCACCTGAGATTTCTCTTCACTATCTCCCCAGCATCTATGGAAATGAAGTGTCTTGTATAACCTTGTAAATGAGGCTGTTCCTAATTAATAAAGGGGGATACAGAGTATCCAAAGTGACTGATGTTAATTCTGTAACTCTACCTAGGACAGGGCTTGAAAAGCTGGGTTTCAGACTGTGTGTGTGTTTCTGTTTTTTGTCCATAAATGCCCAAGAGGAAGACTGAACTACTTTAGCGATTTTGTGTGCTCAGGTGCCCTGAGCCTTAACTGTACTGAGTGAACCCTGATAAGGTATTTACCGCAATTGAGGCCTAATCTAAATGCCAACCAACCAATTAATTGGGCGTGTGGGGCAAATGCCAAATTTCATTAAATTACCAACATTCACACACTTGTTTCGAAAACCTTGGTGTTCAAATGTCATTGTTCAGAAAGGATAAAGGCTGCAGTGTTCTGCAAACTTTCCCCAAAAGACATTTTTATCATCATTGGCACTTTGCAGGTGTCAATGACAGATCCTGTCCCAAAGGCTTGACACTCATCCTGTATGAAAGTCTCTCTTTGTGCACGGCATTCCTTCTCCCCTGCATTAAAAGCATGTCCAGAAGGAATTATTCCCTTTCCTCATTGCTCCATCATCTTCAGATCTGACCTCCTCTTTCCTTCTCGAACGTATTCCTCTGTTTTTACCCCCTCTCTCCCTCAGATTCCTATGCTGTACCTCCCCTCAACTGCCCTCGCCTCCCCACCTTCCCCCCTCCCCAAACACTGATCTCAGATTAAGTTGAACACTATCCCAGGCAAAGTTTGCACCTGCTGCTTTAGGCAAAGATACTTCCACATCCTCAACAGGTGCCTTTCAGTTTTCACTTTTTTCCTCTGAGGACATCATTTAAACACCATTCCCAAACTCCAGGACTGTTGTTGCTTTTGCTGGTCACTCTGTGGGGCTTATATTGGATAAGAGGTGCTCTTCTATCTGGACATCCAGCTCCTCTGCTAACCCTCTTCCCTGTATGACACTTCAGCTACTATCACTTCCTCTGTGTCATTTTACTCCATCATCACCACCCCTCACTCTGTGGATGATCCTCAGCTGGATGGGCTGTGAGGAGGTTGCCAGGTTAGACTTCTGAGGTGCTAGATGTCCGTCTTCTGAAAGCAGGTGGGTGCATCTTTCATTCCCACATTTCACTTTTCAAGTTTAAATATTTTACTTATCATTTTTGGTGATACAAACTTTATTATTTGCTGTCTTGGTCCAACACAACCCTCAAGGCATATTTTTACCTATTTCAGAGTTATCATCTAAGAACATTTTGATTTCTTTTAGTATTGTATTGTGTTTTACTGGATTTTTAACTGGATTTTTTTCTCATTGTCATTTAAATATATTCAAATCAAATATTTAGGGGATTTTTTTTTCTTTTTCTGTCAACGGTTGCCTCTCTTTGGGTGTTAAAGAGTCTTGTCGTCTTTTAAGTCCTCTATCTTTATTGTTCTGCTAAAAGACAGAGTTGACACCAGTCAGATAAGATGGTGCGCCACAAGAGTCAAAAGAGCAATTGTGTTAATCTTTGTGTTGACAATGTTAGATGGGTGGCTGATGATATCAGAACAGACTTCTCTCAGCAGTGCTCACTAACTTTGGCACACCTGAACATAATTTACCATCAAGCTGAATAGAAGTCACCGTGAGGCAATTATAGAAGAATGTCTAATTGACTTTACAATCATAGCAGCAGGCTCACACTATGACTGATGTCTCTGAGGCAGTTGGATCTGTTGTGTATCAAGATAATATCAACAATGTTTAAATACCAAGTTTATGCTAACAATAAAACAAATACATCATCAAATAAAACCTATTTTAGTGATAAAATAAGGGTTGGGAATTTAAAGTTAGAAATAAGCGTGCTTTGAAATTTTTTTTTAGTCCAATTTTACAAAAAAGCATCAATATTAAATTCAGTCTGGTCCATAACCAGCCAAAAGCTTCTCTCAGTAGCTACATTTGAGACTCATACAGTTGTTTACATTGAGATACAGACTTCAAGTCTGTGTGCTGCTGCTGAGATGAAAAATAAACCAAAACACATTATTCATCAGCAATGACAGCAACAATTTCCATGCCAGCAATCCAACGCTAAAAGTGGCAAGTTTGAGATTTAAGGATTTAACCTCTTAATATGCAGAGTTTCCAACAAGCTCATTCCCTTTGACACCACTAAATTTGCTGAAAAAAGGACAAGTACACAGACTTTCAGAAAGAGACAAAGTCTTCATTATGGTAGTCAGGGGATGGTTTTAACATAGGGGTAAAGATTCCAGCTACGTTGAAGCCTGTTAAAGTTGAAGTTCATGAATGTACACTAAATCGTTTTTGAAATATAATTCTTTTTCAACAATAAAGTTTAATTGGTGATAGTAATTGTTAATTCTGCCAACTTGGCTGAAGTCTTGACTTTGCCAATGGGAGTCTTGCCAAGCCAGCCACTGAACAGCCCCAAAGGGCCACTGCATGACCTCGGCAATTCAAACCTACTCACTTTAAGCCATTAGTGCCCCAGTGTTTACGGTCCTCTCCCTCCAGCCAACAAGGCATGGATTGCACCCAAAAAAAGTGGTAATGAGGTCCTAAGCAGCCTTGCAGCTTTAGACATAGAGACGCTAGAGCAGAGCAGAGTGGGCCAGCTCTGTCAGCTGCAGGGAGCCCAGGTACAGAGAGGCCAGTACTCCACTGTTGCTGACTCACATGGGACTGTAAGGCTAATGTGATCCTGTAACATTGTTCTGGCATGCATAATGGGGCCTTTTCAGGGTTTCTCAGGGGAGACCTGGGAGCCTGATCTTAAAGAAGCAGTGTGACGTTGGTTTGATGGTGCTCCTTCAACTCTACGTTTGTCTAACGGTCTTGTTTATGGGAAGTTGCCCTATGACTCATGCCTGCCTGAATTTTCATTAGCCTTTACTTTAAGCATAGGACAGATAAGGTAACACTTGTTCCGCTAGGGTTGCTGAACATGGAGGGAAGCAGTAACATTACGAGCAAATTAGTCATGCAGTTGACAAGAGCTCCCCTGTCATTGTCTCTCTTTTTTCCTAGAATGGTCAGGCCAGGCTGTCCAGTCATTCTGCTTCACCTCTTCAGCATTTTTGTACAAATCAAAGGTACGAGATTTAATGATATGGGTGGATCATGTCAAATTCTCCCTCTATATTAGTTACTTTATATCAATCTTTTGAGGCTGTTATGCATTATTCTCCTTTCAGCTAGCACTCAGGACATCCTGTACCCATATGGACCTGGCACCAGAGATCTAGAGACACCAAAGATGGATGATGGGAGTTCCCCTGAAATCAATTTGCTCATTTCTTTCATCTTCTTTAATATCCCCTACCGTTCCATCTATGTAAGCTTTAATCATAACTGTCAAACTCTGATTACCGCCTAATCCTATAACTTTTAACGTTACATTACTGCCATGTCCCTTCACAGGTCAACAATAATGGTGTGATCTCCTTCAATGTGCAAGTGAGCCAGTTCACTCCAGAGGCTTTCCCGTTGAGTGACAGCAGATCATTCATCGCTCCACTGTGGGCAGATGTGCACAATGGCATTCGAGGAGATGTTTACTACAGAGAGTCCATTGAACCAGAAATACTGGAAAGAGCCACACAAGATGTGCGGAAGTACTTCAAAAACATGCCCTCCTTCACAGCCACCTGGGTCTTTATTGCGACATGGCACCAAGTCACCTTCTATGGTGGGAGTCAGACAACCCCGGTAAAGTCCAAACCCCGCAAACTGAGAAACTGCTTGTCAGTAATGATGATGATTGACTGCCTATGTTAAATTTCACATTCACTGTTATAACACCCAATTTATCCTTTATCCTTATGTATTAAGACAACAATAGTTCAAGAAGTTCAGAACAATGTCAAAGCAGAAAAATACTGCAAGCATGGTTAGTTCAGATATTAAAGGGATAGTCCTTATTTTTTCATTTATTTCTTTTAGTCCATTCAGTCTCACTCCTGTTCATAAAGGTGCCCCTTTTGTAGATGGCATGCCATACTAGCTGTCAGAATCACTTTCTTTTTTTTAGTTTGGTAGCAATTTTGTTTTTTTGAAGCCATTCATTTAATGAGTTGATCATAAAGCACAGGTGTTGATGTAGGATTAAGGTAGGGGTTGGGCTCCTAAAGGTAGAGGTGATATACCTTTAGAGGTGATATAATTATTTGTGACAAGTACCTCATGCAACGCCTCCTCGGCAATAAAAAATATTTCCCTTTTAAACATGCCCACATTATTTATATTTTTTAATGAGAGTAACATCATAAAAACATCTGAGATGAAACAGCCCTTAAATTATAAGAGAAACAAGCTGGCCTGGAGTGAAATGATACACTGTTTTTTGGGTGGTTTTTAAAGAATTACGTCAATGTTTTTATTCCTTTTAAGTTATTTTCTTTTGTGTGATAAATGTGGTTGTTTTATAACAAAAGTTATTTTCATTCCTTTTTTTGCTGACAGGTGAACACATTCCAAACTGTACTAATCTCAGATGGTGTGGTGTCCTTCTCCATGTTCAACTATGGAGAAATCACATGGAGCACAGGGACAGCGAGTGGCGGAGATCCTTTAACAGGACTGGGTGGTACCACAGCTCAGGTATTCTCATGATATCTCATCATGTTATTGGTCTTGAAATCTCTTCTAAGTGGGATTAAACAATTCAGCTCATCCCCTCACACCTTTCCCCTTTTTAGTCAGGTTTTAATGGAGGAGACATTGGTCACTTCTTCAACCTGCCAGGATCCCGGTCAAATGATGTTGTGAACATTGAACAGACAACCAATGTAAATATCCCAGGGCGATGGCTCTTCCGTATAGACACTGAACTGATAGATCCTGCAAATGGCTGCAGCTACAATGGCAAGTCTGAAAGTCCAGCGTTCATAACCATATTTATTTCAGCCATGACTAAGAAAAGTCTAGAATTTTAAAGTGAAATTTCTTCTAGGCCTGTTTCTAAAGTATTTTTTTCTACATCCATTTAGGGCGATTTTACAGACGTGGAGAAGTCTTCTGGCTGTCTGATCAGTGTTCCCAGAGGTGTCGCTGCCTTGATATCGGCAATGAGGTTCAGTGCCAAGAGGCTCCTTGTGGCCAGCTCGAGATCTGCGAACAGCAGGATGGAGCATTCTACTGCCAGCCTACTCGCACCAGCACCTGTGTGGTGTTTGGAGATCCTCATTATCACACTTTCGATGGCTTCCTCTATCACTTTCAGGGAACCTGCTCCTACCTGTTGGCTCGGCCCTGCTGGGAGATACCTGGACTACCCTTCTTCAGCGTGGAAGCCAAAAATGAGAACCGTGGGGTCACCTCTGTTTCTTGGCTGAGAGATGTTACAGTGGATGTGTACAGTCATAGAGTCACTTTACCCAAAGGCAGTTTTGGAAGAGTCCAGGTGAGAATCTGTGGACACTTACAGTAAGTCTTGAAGTATTGGCCATCTTTATGCCTCTAAAAATGGCTGAAGCAAAATTAAATGTTTTGTACTGCTTCTAAACAATCTGCAACTCTTGGCCTCATCAAATTCACAAGTTATTTGTACTCGGATTAGATACGGCATTTGAGTACCAGGTGCTATGATTCAGACTGGGTGTGACATCAGTAACCTAGGCCTTGGCTCCACCAGCACAATGTGTCAGTGCCCACAGAAGCAGTTTTTTGGTTGTCCTTGGAAGTTTTGTTACAACTGTTGATTGATATAATTGATATTATGTGTTTCCTGGTCTTTCTTCTGTTCTTCTGTCTAGGTGGATGGCCTAATGAAGACCTTGCCAGTCCAACTCCAGCTTGGTGCTATTAGGGTTTACCAGTCTGGGCTTGCTGTTGCTCTGGAAACTGACTTTGGACTCCTGGTAACCTACGATGGCCAACACTATGCATCCATCTCCTTGCCCAGCTCTTATTTTAACAACACATGTGGCCTTTGTGGAAACTATAACGATGACCCGGCTGACGATCCTGTGCTACCTGACGGCTCCCTGGCAGAAAGTGTTGTGGAATTAGGAGGCAGCTGGAGAGCAGAAGACCCAGATTGGAGGTGTACAGATGGTTGCGTCCAAAACTGCAGCATGTGTGACCCTCAAACAGAGGCCTTTTACTTTCGCCCAGACTACTGTGGGCTCATCAACAAAACTGATGGACCTTTTAGAGACTGCAGAGCTGTCGTGGACCCTACAGCCTTTGTATATAGCTGTGTATATGACATGTGCAACAACAGGGATAATATCACAACACTCTGCCAGGCTATCCAGGCTTATGCTCTGGCCTGTCAAGCCATTGGTGTGACGATACGACCCTGGAGATCTCGCACTTTCTGCGGTGAGATTCAGTTTACACTTTTGCTTCATCTTACGTAGATTTTCAGTCTTGTTTCATCATTTTTCTCCTTTGCTGTTTCTCAGCTTTGTCTTGTCCGGAGTTCAGCAGTTACCAAGTGTGCACAAGTGCCTGCCCAGCTTCCTGCTCAGACCTCACTGCTCCCTTGTACTGTGCTCACCCTTGCACTGAGGGCTGCCAGTGTGACCAAGGCTATGTTCTCAGCGGCAGTCGTTGTGTACAGCGAGAAGACTGTGGCTGTGAACACAACGGCCTCTATTACCCCCTTAATTACACTTTCTGGGCAGGCCCCAGTGGTGAAGAAGGTGAATGCACCCTTCGCTGCACCTGTGGACTTGCTGGAGAAGTCACCTGTTTCAATCAGTCCTGTAAGGAAGGCGAAGTGTGTGCTGCAGAAGTTGGCTTGCTTGGTTGCTACCCTCGAAGAGAGGGCGTGTGCTCAGTCACCCAAAGTTCAGTGGCATCCTCCTTTGATGGCACCTTCTTACAGTTCCCTGACGACAGCTCTTATTATTTGTTGAAGCTGTGTGCTCCCGTTCCAGCTAATGGTTCAATGGTGGAGGTGAAGATAGGTAGGCGATTAGTGAGCAAAGGTCCCACTTGGAAAAGACCTGTGGTGGTTACAGTGGCCAACATGGAAGCTCAGATGGGAGGGTTAGATTTTGACACAGTGAAGGTCAGTATTGTTCTAACAGAACTTTACTTTTGTTGTCCCATTTCAGCTGCTGGATATCTGTTGCTTTGACACTTTTTTATTGTGTTCCAGGTAAATGGTGAACAAGTGGCACTACCGTTTGTTCATCCAATGGAGACAATGATGATCTACAGAGCACCAGGCAATGCAACAGTGGTGGAGTCCAGCGGTTTGCTTCGTGTTCACTACACTTACCAGGGATTCATAAACATCTCCCTTTCAACCATTTTCTACAACGTTACGTGTGGTCTGTGTGGTGTCTTCAATGGTAATTCCACCGATGACCTGCGCCTTCCAAATGGACGCCTGGCAGAGTCTACTGAACAGTTCACAGAGGGCTGGCGGTCCATTGCTGATGACCTATCGTGTAATGGTGACTGTGATGACCTTTATCGAATGTGCACAGGCTTGCGTCTTTACCAGAGTCCGTGGATGTGTGGGAACATCAATGATCCTGGGAATAGTTCATTTTTAGCGTGTCATGCAGTGGTCAATCCTTCGCCATTCTTCAGGAACTGTCTATATAACATGTGTGTAAGGGAAGGGAATCGTTCAGCCCTGTGTTCCTCACTGCAGGCTTACGCCACAGCTTGTCAGGATGCTCAAGTGGGTCTCGCCTCCTGGAGGAGTGTCACCAACTGCCGTGAGTGTATATCGAAGTTTCAAGGGGCCAGGCTTATATTTTGGTTGTTGTGCTAGGTAAAGCAATGTCACAGGACAGGGAATTAATCCTACATTTAAGCAAAGCTGGTCTTACTCCTTCACAAACTGCTGGCATGGCTACTTGGCAGAGCAATAAAAGACCCTCTTATTCATATGTTCACTCACAGGGTTGTAACCCTATGTATTTCTGAGAATTGGTTCTCAGATTTGGCAAATACACCATTCTGCCCAAGTTTTAAAGAATGCCTGAACTTTTCTCTGCTCCAAATTAACCTACAATTTATATAGTACATCGAATCTCAACTCAGGGATAAATAAAGTTCTTCTTATCTTATCTTACAAATCATTTTGTTGGTAGATTTCTAGGCTGACTTCAAGTTGTGTCTCTAAGCCAGCTTTATGTTCAGAAAATGAAACCAGTTGACATGGCACTTCTTCACCTATGCAGTGGGAAAATGAGATAGGAGATAATTAGTCACAAATTTCTTTTAGGCTTTGGGATACTCAAAAATAAAATATGAACAAACAAAATAAATAGTGATTCTAACACCCTTAGTATACATTGAGTTAGCTGCCATTACTTTGTCCAATGGAAAATCCTATTAATATTTCGCTAAAGATTTGTCAGACTAAGATACAGAAATAAACTCTGAAACCAAATGGGCTTTCTGACAGCAAACTAAGCACTAATAATTTCCAAATAAATTGAGATTACACCAAGGAAAGTACTTTGGTAAAAGTTTGTCAAAATCAGCTAAATTAGGTAGAAGACCTGGACTCATCTGCAGCGGTTGATAGCCTCGCTCTGCTGTTCCAGTTTCTCAACTGTGGGTCAACTAGGATCTGCTGTGGCCAATACACTTATTAAAGACAAGCCCCCTGTTTAACCTCACTTCACTTTCAATTACAGTCATTAATTCGATGCTGCCAATGGGTATACTAAAGATCTTTGAAGTCACAATTCAATCTTCGAGACATGAGGTTTTTAATGCAGTCTTACTTTAATTTGGATTTGGTTGTAGTTTTTTGCTTCTCAGCCTCTTACCGTATTTCCTCTCTCAGCTCTTCCTTGTCCAGAGAACAGTCACTTTGATGAATGCACCAGCGCCTGCCCTCTGACCTGCTCCAACTTGGATGAGCCTGAAGAACCGTGCCCCCTACCCTGCCAGGAGGGATGTCAGTGTGAGGAAGGGTTTGCTTTGCGTGATGGCTTGTGTGTGGCACGCCGTGATTGTGGCTGTATGAGCCACGGTCGCCAGCTGGCTACAAATCAGACTTTCTGGACAGACTGGGAATGCCAGGAGCGCTGCTACTGCAATGGCTCTGACAACAGTGTGTACTGTCAGTTCGCACCCTGTCACTCAGAGGAGTACTGCCAGGAGAATGATGGCCTGTATTTCTGCCAGCCACGCACTGAGGCCCTGTGTGTGGTGGCTGGTTATGGACATTTTCTTCCATTTGCTGGCGTACCATTTGAGCTGCATAGCTCTTGTACTCTCAGGATGGCCACCACTGATTGTGGAAGAGATAGCACAGATCCCACAATCATCGGTGAATCTTTCCCCCCGTTCAAACTTGCAGCTCGAAATGAGGAGCGGGACACAGGCCAGGCAATCTGGGTGAGGGGTTTTGTACTGGAGGTCTATGGGTATGAGATTGAAGTTTCTCGAAGCTACAAGAACACTGTCACGGTGAGTGCGTCTTAATAAATCAATTTAGACATATTGAGTAGCTTTGCTGCTCAATAACGTGTTTTACTCCTGTAACTAGGTGACAGACCTGCAAGTTGCCATGGCAAAAAATGATAGGCATGACTGAGAAAAGATGATTTTGTATAGACAGAGCAATGACACGATTACAGGACAAAACGAGCCAAGACAGCATGGTCCACAACTTTCATTAAGGAAGCTGCGGCCTTTTTCAGGGGTTGCTGAAGTCCCTGCCTCCTCCCTTCCTGCTGCTGTTGCTCACACTAAGAATTTCGAATCTTACACCACCTTAAGATGTGACCCATAAAGGTCACAGTTGTTGTATTTGTGTGGACATTTTATTTCAAATCAAGCTGATAGAATAACCGGGCAGAGAGTGAATTCCTCTTTGATTGGCTTAAGGTGGATCTAATTTCAATGGGCATCTTTTATCAAGCTGGATTTGGCTCAGACAAAACCTGACCCTGAGCGACATTTGGACCGGGTTCACAAACCGACTAAAAGATCTGAGGAGGAACACAAGTGACACAAAACCCAGCTTGCACAAATTTTTATTCTCTGTGTCTTTGTCCTTCAAATTCAACTAGATCAGATGAGAGAGACACAGAAGTCCTTCACTGAGTCTTAATCGTACCCATTATCATCTGGGTTTCCCCACCAGTCAGTTTGGATAGAAACAATCACTTGGTGCTAAAAATGTCTCTGTAGGAATGTGCCTATGACCATCACTATCCTGTTTAATGAATCTGTCTTCACTCAGGTAAATAAGGAGCGTTTGTACATTCCTCTGAAGCTGGGTCCAGGGAAAATCAACATCTTCACCTTGGGCATGCAGCTCATTCTGGAGACAGATTTTGGCTTAAAGGTGGCCTTCGACTGGAACACCCTGCTCCTGTTGACTTTGCCCCGTGACCTCTATAACACCTGCTGTGGGGTCTGCCAGGGCCTCCCGTTATCCCTACCCACATTTACCACGACTGACTGGGGCATGGTATGGGCAGAGAGGGACACCTTCTGCCAGGTGGGCTGTGGAGACTCCTGCCCACGCTGTGGCCTGGGAGACAAAAGCGACCTAAATGACGCCCCTGTCATGGTTGCCGATGCAAACATGAGCAGTGACGAAGACAACGGAGCAAACGAAGTCAACACTGGCATTCGTTTTCACATTGGAGACGGACTGTATGTGTTTGTGGAGCCTGAAGCTGTGAGGTTGTGCGGGCTCATTGTGGATCGGGCTGGTGTGTTTGCTCGGTGTCACAGTAAGGTGGCGCCAGCGTTCTTTTATCAAAGCTGTCTGCAGGACACCTGTTTGGATCAGGGCGCTCAGGATACAATCTGTAACTGGCTGCAGATATATGCCAGCACCTGTCAGACCCAAGGAGTGCCCGTTACCGGCTGGAGGAGTGACACACCGTGTGGTGAGTGGACATCAGTGTCCTTACCTCAAAACAGCACCTCTGAATACAAAACAAAAAGACTGATGTTCAGTTGAATGATTACTGTGAGAGTATAAGAAACACAGCTCCACACAGACCTTCTGAATATTCCCTGGTAAATAAGCAGACAGATGGATAATTCATGAAAGTAAGAGATTAATTATTCGTTTGAAGCGCCATGAAATAAATCTAAATTGATACTGGTACATCTTCATGACTTATTAAGGCAAACAAGACCAGCATTAAGATGAATGGTTTCTATATTGTGGTTTTTAATGCCTGTGTGAGGGGGTCGGTGTTAGATGATGAAAAGCATGCAAAAGAAACGGGTCAGCAAAGTAACGAAATGTACATCTGTTCCCACAAGGGGGCGCCAAAAGTGGCACAAATTAAAAGTTACTTACTGGACTTTTATTCAGGCTAAAAGCAAAAAGGGACATTTTTTACAGTTTGGTTTGGATGTGGTTTGCAATAAAACTTAAGCTGTCTCTATTTACTATCAATCACAATGCAGTTAAGATCCAACATTTTTGATTCACACACAATTTGGCCCATTCTGGGCACTGTTGCAGAGCCTTCCTGCTTTCCGCTGCTGCCATAATGGAAACTAATGACACTACTGTGCATTTAAAGGTGCATTTTTCTGTAATTTAGGGTGTGTTAACTACCTGTGGTTGAAACTAAAGATAAAAATCACAGCTTCATGCTAAGCTAGACTAACCATCTTCTAATTGCAGGGTACAGTACATAGTGATGAGAATATTTGACAATATTTAGCAGTCCAAGTCTCCTGCTCACTGCCCTTGTTAGTGAAGCTCCTGACTCTATCACTGGTGTATCAGTTGGATTTATGACCCATGTACCCAGGCTGTGATCCCTTAGCCTGTGGAGCCTTTTCCAGAGCATGTTGCTTTTATTAAGGTTCCCAGTCCTGTCTGCTGTCCTATCCTCCTCCTCTCAACACTTGTCAACAAACATCAACAAACATACACCCATTTGTACCGGAGAATGTCCAGTGTGTAAGGTGAAGCTGGTGCAGTTTTTAATAATCTAATAACTTTCCCATCCTGCCCTCTCCCAGTCCAGAGCTGCCCACCTAACAGCCACTACTCCAGCTGTGTATCAGTCTGCCCGCCCCAGTGCGCCCCCGCCCGTGGACAGAGGGACTGCAGCCAGGACTGTGTGGAGGGCTGCCAGTGTGACCAGGGCTATGTGCTCAACGGCAAGAGCTGCATCCTGCCTCAAAACTGTGGCTGCTACACTGATGGCAAGTACTATGAGGTCAGTCTCACATCAAGTCCATTACAGAGTATGAAGGTCAATGTAGTTTTTTTTTATTCATCCTCAAATATTAGTCTTAAATAGACTAATTCTGCATGTAATTTTTAGCAGCTGTGAAATTTCACCCTTTCTGTTTCATTTGGTGACATTTATTACCAGCCAGTCATTGGTATAATATTTAAGGACAGATCTAAAGTTTTCTGGTACAATTCATAAAGAGTCCATCACACTAAAGTAGAGTTTTGATAAGTTTTCTAAACAAGACAAGGAAAAACAGCAAATTGTACAAGTACCACAGATAAGATCTGGTTAAAGGGATATTCTGGTGTAAAATTAATTTAGGTTAAAACACACCGTAACACTGAGTTAGACACCCCCTAGAAAGATGAATGTTGCCGACTGCTTGCGTCTCTAGTTATACCAACTTTAGTAACAACCGCAGGATAGCAATACACAGCGGTCCCAGGAGCCACGCACAAACCTCAACCAAACACCACTCTATAGCCACAAATAATGCTCAGAACAGCACCTAACTTCATCAACAGTACATATAGGGTCCCAGCCATAGTACTAGCCACCAAACATCTTTTTAACTTTGCCTGATTTCTTTGGCAAAGAGACGAGACAGAACTCAGTCCATTACAGACTGCTGTGGGGTGACGCAGCTCAAGAAAGAACATTTATGATCATTACTTTATCATTTCTTGTAAGTAATAATCACCATATTAATCATTTTGCACTGCAGATGCAGTAGTTCTTCTGCCTTAGCGTCTCGGTCTGATTGCATTTCCATGAAGTAATGATCATAAATGTTCTTCCTTGAGCTGCGTCACCCCGCAGTAGTCCATAATGGGTCGAGGTCTCGCTACATACAAGCGGCTGCTGGAAGAGAGTAGGTGAGTTGTGTTTAGTCTCTTTGCAAAAGAAATTAGGCAAAGTTAAAAAGATGTTTGGTGGCTAGTGCTGTGGCTGAGACCCTATATGTACTGTCAGTGAAGTTAACTGAGCCACTGAGCATTATTTGTGGCTATAGAGTGGCGTTTTGGTTGAGGTTTGTGTGTTGCTCCTCAGACCGCTGTGTATTGCTATCGTGCGGTCGTTACTAAAGTTGGTATAACTAGAGAAGCAAGCGGTCGGCAAAATTCATCTCTCGAGGGGGTTTTACCCAAAATAAATTTTATGCTAGAATATCCCTTTAATGTTTGAGAAGAGTTTGGAGTAATTTTTCCATTTCCAATAATTAAATTCATATCAATCAGTTGAACAGATCTTGCCCTGATTTTGACAGAAACTCTCTATATCTCAGCCTAAACAGCTGTTTTGGAACAGTGACTGTACCAAACGCTGCCAGTGCATCGGACGCAACCTGATCCAGTGCGACCCCCGCCGCTGTAAAGCAGAGGAGGAGTGCACCCTGCGGTATGGAGTGAGGGGCTGCTTCGCGCGACGCTCCCAGCACTGCGTGGCTTCTGGGGGTGGAGTTTTCAGGACCTTTGATGGGGCGTCGCTACGGCTGCCGGCCTCCTGCTCCTTCGTCTTGTCCACTAACTGTCACAAGCTGCCTGACCTCTCCTTCCAGCTCATCGCCAACTTTGACAAATGGAGCACACCAAACCTCACCACCATCTCTCATGTGTATCTCTACATCAACGAGGAGAATATTCTCATCTCAGGAAACACTGTCAAGGTGGGAGAGAGCTGTTTTTTGTTTTTTTTCACTGTATTGGCTGCATGTTACCAAGTTGTTGGATAACACTGATACTGGAGGAGTCAGTGCTACCTTAAATATTATGGGAAAAGCATTATCTCAATTTAACAGCATGTCTCTTATTCATTGAACCATTTGTTCTTCTAAAAATCTCATTATTTCATGTCTTATTTCTGTCAAAGTACAACTGCTGCTATCATCTAATTTTTTATCAACAAAAAATCAATAAAACTCATTTCATGAAGTTGTTTTGGCTCATCAGGTCAAATCAATCAAATAAATTGTCCACCTGTGCAGCCATGCTAACCCTTTTGCTCATGTATCTAACGAAAAACTTTTTTTGTTTTTTTCAATCCTGATCTACTGTTTGGTTCTGCAGTATCAAAACAGACAAAAAGTACAACCAATCTACAGAAATGAGTACCGTTTCGTCACAAAACCCCACATCAAAAAGACTAAACTCTTTCTTTGAAGCCAACAGTATTGCTTGGCATTGCAAAGACTCAAAATTAAGCAAGTATTTTTGTCCTTTTTCCAGTAGAAATATTCTAATTAGACTTGAAATTACAATCACCTTTATATTCACGTTCAGGAGTTCATACCAGATGAAAACAGCTGTAGTTTGAAGACCCATTTATTTGGTCTGGGTCTGTTCTGTCTAAGACCAGAGATCCCATAATCAACTCTTTCTTTAAGAGACTCAACAAACAAATCCTGTTCAAATCAGTTTTTCTCATCGAGTACCTGGAAGAGTTAAAGAGACCAAAAAAAAAAAAACTATTACAATCAATCGCCTTGTGGATTTCTTCCATTTCAGACTGGGTTATTTTCTAGTCACAGAGGTAGTCAATGATTTGCTGATTGCTCTCAGCTTTGGCTCTCAGTGAGTCATGATCCGGCTTTATCTAAGCGGGCCATTCACAGTGATATTTCTCTGAACCACCTATCAATGGTAATGTCTTCCAGAGAACACAGAGTAATAGGAGCTCTGTTCCAGACTGTCATGATCTCTGCTTCAGGCGGACTCCTTTCTTTCTTGAGATAGGGCCTCTTAGTTGAAAGGTTTTGCCGATAAGAGTTCATTTTATGCAGACGACACCCACATGTACATTTATGCCCTTGGTGACAGGGCTTGTGTGTCTGAGTGCCAAGACATCCTAGATGTTTTTAGATCTCTGCTGGAACAAAATCAGCGCTACATTTTGAATCGCAAACCTCCCTTAACTTTATGTTACAGTATTTCCTCTGTTCAACCATTTGAATTAAATTCAAGGTCCTTCAGAATCACATCCAGAATATTTAGATGTACCTAACAGATAACAAGATGATACATTTTAATATTTAATATTATTACTGTGCCCCTCAGGTCAACGGTACTCCAGTATCTGTACCGTTTCTTACCGGACTGATGACTCGTCTGTCCACATCTGAAGGTTTCATTGTCATCGACACCCCTCAGGACATCCAGGTCAGATACAACCACTTTAACACCCTCAGCATCACAATGGGCCAGCGGCTTCAGAACAAGGTGTGCGGCCTCTGTGGGAACTATAACGGAGACCCCAATGATGACTACATCACCTCCAGAGGCAAGCCGGCTGTCAGCGCCCTGGAGCTTGCCCAAAGCTGGAAGACCAACGGTATGCAGAACAGGTGAGTGGGGCTCACTGAGAGTAGATGTTGGACCCCTAACACTGTACATGCAATAGGGCCAGTTTTGTAAATCCATCTAAAATATACAAGTTAAATAAATACTTTAAAAGACTTCTGCTCTCTCTCCTAGTTGTGATGAAACTCAGTATGTGGCTCTGGCTCAGTCCTGTGACAACACGGCCGTGGTGGCCCTACAAGGTGAAGACACCTGTCAGAAGCTGACCCAGCAGAAGGGTTTCTTCCAGCCGTGTCATGGCCTGCTAGATCCTCGGCCTTTCTACCAGTCCTGCTACCTGGATGGTTGTTACAATCACCGCAAAGCTCAGGTCTGTGGTTCGCTGGCAGCCTACGCAGAGGCCTGTCGCTCTCTGGGAACCCTCACCACCAAGTGGATCACCCAGGAGAACTGCTGTAAGGGCACCGCGAGGCACCAAACCATTTTCATCGAGTGGTGTTTCAAATCTTGACTAAAATGGAAGGACAAGAGCTAACATTGTGTGTGACAGCTAACATTGTGTGTGGACCTGTCTTTAGCAGAATGGATCTATGACCCCTGTGCAGGAGAGATCTGCACAAACTTCACCTGTGAGCTGGAGAACGGAGGGGACCTGTGTGGCTGCCCGGAGTTACCCACCACCACTGGAGGTGAGTGCTTCTGAAAATCTGATATAAAGTCTTTAAAATAGTTTTCTATCACTAGGAAGCTGAGTGGTAAACAAAACCAGTTTGATTTTGAAATGACATTAAAAAAACCACATCATCTAGTAGTAAAGGAGTTGGTTTTCTACTGGATCTGATGGATACAAAATACATTTAAATACAGTATATATTGTGTTTTTATTAAAACATTTGCTCTCTTTTGAGGAACCGCATCAATAGCTTTAACGGTACCACATTTTGGGGTTTAATAATACTGATCTGATAGATTTAAATAACTCACTTATGGCTGTCTGTGTCTGGCAGGTGATGATGATATTATCCAGGCAGAGGTGACCTGTAAACACGCTCAGATGGAGGTCTCCATCTCAAAGTGTAAGCTCTTCCAGCTGGGCTTCGAGCGAGAAGACGTCAGGATCAACGACGAGCACTGTGCCGGTATCGAAGGAGAGGACTTCATCTCCTTCCACATCAACAACACAAAGGGGCACTGCGGCTCCATCGTACAGGTCAGTTAGTTGTTTTTTATTCTCACTTGAAGGATGGTGCATGTCATCTTGTATAACTGCCAGTAACAGCTTACAAACCAAGAATTGACGCTGACCTGATGCTGTAACCAATAGTTGTACAAATACACTTCAAACTGCACAATCTCCTACAGAAATCAATTTATGTTTCCCACAGTTTTGTACTACCGTAATTACTGTAATAGGAGCACATATTTTGTTCTTCAGCATCCTTTTTTTTTTTCTTACTGACAGTCGAATGGCACTCATATCATGTATAAAAACACCGTGTGGATAGAGAGCGTGAACAACACCGGGAACATCATCACCAGAGACAAGACCATCAACGTGGAGTTTTCCTGCGCTTACGAACTGGACCTCAAAATCTCACTAGAGACGGTCCTCAAACCCATGCTCAGGTCGGTTGAAGAGCACACACTGGTATTATATTCAGTTAGAGTGCAATGTGGATAGACATAACAAGACATACATTTCTCCTGCAGTGTGATAAACCTCACTTTGCCGACCCAGGAGGGAAACTTCATCACAAAGATGGCTCTCTATAAGAACAGCTCATACCGCCATCCGTACAGGGAGGGGGAGGTGGTGCTTAGTACGCGGGACATCCTCTTCGTGGGCGTGTTTGTGGAGGGAGCAGATGAAAACCAGCTCATCCTCATAGTGAACATGTGCTGGGCCACACCGTCTCGCTACAGCAGTGACAGACTGCGCTACATCATCATAGAGAGAGGGTAAGTGTACACAAACACACAGAAATACACAGAAAATCATCAGCAACAAGAATGATCATTTTACAGCTTATATCTAATTTTTAATGCCTGAAACTTAATCTGTAAATTGATTGGAAAAAAAGTGTCTAAGTTTGACAGAAATCTGATCAGATTGATTGTTCATTAACTCTCTGATAAAGACAGTATGAACATTGACAGACTGTTTTAGTGAGTATGGTGATGTTCCTTACCCAATGACAAACCCTGGATATATATTTCCCATTTACTCATTTAAACACTGGAATGGACCAATCTTACAAATGTCTGACAATGTTTTTAATTGAAGTAAAGATAAAACAGTAGCTGCGTTTACATGGGCACAAATAATCGGAATAAATGCCCGATCGGGATAAAAATGAATCATGTAAACATGTGGATTGGAACATTCTGATCCAATTCGGATCCAATTGTATTCCAATCGTGAGGGGTGGTTCATGCCGATTGTTATTCCGAAATGCGTCCATGTAAACACTTATTCCGATCGTGACTCTCTTACCCGACTCGATCTTTACTCTTTAACCTTTGGCCTTTTCATTGAGGCCAGTACAGGAGGTTTCATTGTTATCACAACCGTAGGTACCGTGTCTGCTCCTCCGGTAACATAACAAGGCGTACAAACAGCGTAATGATGTCACATCTGCACGCACAGTCCAAGCTTTGACAGGACAGTAAAGTAAGTACGCAAGGGCGCCATCTAGTGAGAATATTTAACAGGGTGAAAACTCCGAAATTGGATGGAGTGAACCACTACAGTGTTTGTTGGTTTGTCGGTTTGTTGACAGCACAGGCGTAAATGCAACTCTTCTTCTGCAGTTGTATTAGCAAAATCAGACAACTCTGCACATGTCCAAATGCTTCTAATCTGAATAAAGCTTGGTGCATGTATACGCACGTCATGATTGGATTACTTGATTTTGCGCCCATATTAACAGAGGATTCCGAGTGTCTGATCCCTCAAAATTTTAATCAGATCAGGAAATTTTGCCCTTGTAAATGTGGCTAGCGAAACAAATGGGGTTTGAGGAGCTTCTTACTGTCTTTGGTGAGTTTTTCTCTTTGATGATAGCAGATGGACCTTAAAACTAACTTAACAGTAGGCTAATGACAGTGAAATAAGTGGGGTTTTTTGTTATCATACCCAGCCAAACCTGACATAAACGTTCTTTTTAGCAGTTCGATACTTTCTCTTTCTCTCTCTCTAGCTGTCCAAACATTAAGGACAACACCATCGGCATGGCAGAAAACGGCGTTTCACTCACCTGCCGCTTCCACGTCACTGTCTTCAAGTTCATCGGGGATTACGATGAGGTCCACCTCCACTGTGACGTTTCCTTGTGTGACTCAGAAACAAACTCCTGTAAAGTGGTAAGAAAAATGTTCATGAAGACTAAAACAGGTGATGAACAGATGTTGTCTTCTGTGTTAATGCGTGTTTGTGCTGTACATCTAGAACTGTCCACACAAGAGGAGGATGTACTCAGAGGACAGTAACCATAAAGAGCACATACTGAGTGTGGGGCCCATAAGAAGAAGAGGTTCGTCTCTCTCTCTTTCTCTTTGAGGGTTCTGTTCTGTTTTACTAGTGATATGCAAACGTAATTTGTACATTTAAAGTCAAGTAAGATTCAAGTGAGATGTGACTGGTGGTTCCTTGGGTTGCTGCAAGGCAATCACTAAAAATAGTCATTTAATTTCATATATCCCAATGAATTCGGATTAGAAAAGTGTAAAAGCACAATGAACACCTGGCAGGTTATTCTTAGAGGGTCTACTTCAAGAATTGTAGGAACAGGAGTGAAGCGAACCTTATAAACCTCAACATATTTTATACATAAAACTAGTGATGAAATCATCTTTTCTCGCATATTACACAATAAGCAGTGTAAAGATTTTCCCTGTATAACTCTCACCTTTAATGCTTCATTAGAATCTGACTGGTGCGAAGAAGACAACGGAGGCTGTGCGCAGATCTGCACCAGTAAGACATCTGGCCCCATCTGCAGCTGTGTGACAGGGATGCTGCAACCAGACGGGAGAAGTTGCCGGAGTAAGTTAGCGCGCACACACACACACACACACACACACACACACACACACACACACACACACACACACACACACACACACACACACACACACACACACACACACACACATTCGCAAGTGCACAAGTAAGAGTTTTAAAGTTTTAACATTTTCGTGCTTTTTAAAATATGAGGATGACTTTCAAATATCAGCGAGCTGAAAATGAGCTCCCACGTAGTGAGTATAAGTGGCTCAGGGTACAGTTAGCATAACAACATGATTAAGCGGCTGATGTTGAGCTACGTTCAGAGCTATCTAGGGTAACTTAAAGTTCTCAACAGCTAAAAATCTCAAGTGAGCTAGATTACACGATCTGACTGCCACATAAACTAACTTCAAAGTCAAACAGTCTTCATCCAAGTCTCATGTGACTGAAGGGAAAAAACAATAAAACATGAATACATGGGATTATAACTTTAAAGCTTGACCACTGGCTGCTTATTTGACACAGAGTAGAGTGATACTCTCAACTGTGAATGCAAACTACCTGAGCTTCCACCAAAGCTGACAGTACTCAGGTCCAAGTTATAAGATAAACATCCGTGTCTCACTCGATTGAAGACGCCAAGTAAACTTTGCATTAAAACACAACAAAATCCCAATAAACTGGGTCATAAGTGGACTAATATTGTATATTAAAGACCCAAAAAAAGAATCTGAGAATGCAGAGTCTTGCAAGAATAGGAGATAAAATTAGGCCACTATAAACTTAAGCTAGCATCATCTTTTTAACAACAGGCTGCAAAATATTTATGTTAGGATTGACAATTTCTAGAGTGTATTTTTTAATGCTTGTGACAGCTGTGAGGGGGTTGGTACCCTGGAGAAATGGGCATAAGCAAATACTCACAGTGGGCAGGAAACTCTTGTCAATCAACATCAGGTTCACAAGGATAAGAAGAGAAAAAAGCAACATTGAAAGGGTGACCTCTTTTTTTAATAGGGTGCACCAAAATCAACCCAGACAGAAAGTCCCTTACAGCAGCTTTAAACTAGAAGTGTTTTTTCTTTCTTTATTACACAGTTTGTTTGTCTTGTTTTGCTCTGTGGCATAGTGTTTTATACAGTAAGCCCTAGACTTTATAGTCTCTCCACTTAATAACACCCTGCTCTGAAATATGCCTCAGGAGCAGGCCGTATAACTCCACCTGACAGTTGTTGGTTTTTATTACAAATAGCATATAATTACATGATGCTGAAAAGGTGCATCAAGGAAATACAACCTGTGCCACAGCACTCTACCTTTTAAGTTGTCCTAAAACCACCTTAGTGTGGATATGTAAGTGGCACTGTTATTCTCATGGACCTCGGTCCATTTTTATTGTAAATCTTTAATTTTTTTTTTTTTTGCAAATATAATATTATTTTTTAGCTCAGAGAGCACTCTTAACACAAAGACAAAGTCCTAGTGTGTGAGTAAATGACCTCTTTCTGAGGTCAAATGGATATACCTGCCCTTGCATTTGCCTAGAAACTAAAATAAAATGTACAAACGGTGCATTCTGGATAATTAATGTTTTCTTGTTTTCTCAGCTGTGAGCTCGAGCTGTAAATCCTCACCTGCGATTTTCCTGCTGAGCATCAGCGCTGTGATCTGCATACTCACGGCTCATATTTATACTCTCATCTCATAACACCCTGTGAGCACAGGGAGGCAACACAAATACAAGAAAAAAAGCACAGACTTGAAGATGCACAAAGTTACAGCATTGATTAGCCAGTAGATCAGCTGTGTTCCAGTCAGACAACTTAGACCGAATTCACTGTTAATACACAAATCGTCAAGTCCAGATTTTGTTGCAACTTAAGGTATGTAGAGCTAAACTGAACTCCACCCCACAATTTCATGTACTGTCATTCTTCACTTTCCCTTCCTTCACAGAAATCATAGTTATTGTGGATTTTTTTTACCATGAGAACATCTTTCAAATCATTCTGTTGGTTTTATGTGTAAAAAAAAAATCACACAGTTTTGGCAACAGCATTATTCTGAAAATGGCCACTAGATAGCGCCAAAGGAAGGAGAAAAAAAAACATTCTTGATGCCAGGCTTGTTGGATCTATGATGTCTTGATTTTGGTTTACATGAGCAAGAAATATTTCAAATCCTCACCATCTTACCAAACTCCAGCCATCACATCATACTGCTTTTTATGCATTATATTATGCTTAGGAGCTACCTCGAAATGTAAATTGCACATAAGTAGCTGCAAAACAACCACCAGAAATGCATCTGGAGAAAGTGAACTGCCACCAGGGCCAAAAGTCCAGTTTCGGTATGAAGTTACATCTTCAAGTGTAACCACATTATCACGACACTTTGCTTTTATTGCTTGTTTGTGAGTCTAATCTGGCTCGTCGCCCAAATCTAGAAGCTATGACGCGTGCTAAAGCCTTGGACCGATCGTTTTTCTACAAACCTACTCACAAGAAACCACCACAAAATATTGGAGCATTTTAAAGTCAAGATTTACAAAACTGTATTCCCATCTCCCTCTCGTCATAAAACTACTGTATCTGTTTGGGAAAACGAGCGCCTACAGTGAGCTTCTTTTGAAAAAACCAGAGCAGAGCAAATTCACCTCCCATGTGACCCTTTGGAGAAACAATCTCTGTATTTATGATGGAAAAATCATCCAAAACCAATGTTGGTTTGTGGCAACAAAGGCTCTTGAGATCATGCACAGAAATCTCTCCTTGAAAGAAACTGTACGATTTATGACTGTGGCAAACGAAGGGGGTCTACATTTATCTTGGTTGCCAAAGTGGAGTTTGTGAATGAAGTGGTTATTTATGTGTGAGAAAGTTCAGTGTTGACTTAATTCTCATGAAATCCAAATCAAGTTTTGCTGTTGTAAAATCCGCAACTAGCTGTGCCATCGAAATCTTCTCTCTCTGTTCTTAAAAAGTAAATAAATGTCGCAGGTTGGCTCTTACCTGTTGATGTAGTTATCAGTGAGGACAAACTGTGTTCTTGCCACCAGAGTGTACTGTTCTTTTAGTTCGGTTTCTTGTAAATGTTTTGTATCTGGCACCTTCTCTGTTGTAAATGTCCACACACGTCATCATCGAACATTTCGTGGAACTGTTCAGTGTTTTTAGCTGAAATGCCCACTCTTCAGATACGCAGTTTTCAAAAGGTAGGCCTGTTTTGCTACTTTATGTACAAATGTACAGTCCTCGCCAGTTTGGTGATATATGTCATGTCATTTTTTTTTTTTTTTTGAGAGGGGGGTTATCAGTATCTTTTTATGATGTTTGAAAATGTGTCCAAATATGTTTTATTCTTTTGGGAACAGAACCATCAAAACCTTCAATAAAAAGTTCTCAAAGTCAGTGTGAGTCATTCAATAATGTCCATTCAGGGTAGATAAGTGTCTGCCCCTCACAAGCGCTCACTTTGAAAAGAGATATGTGTCATTTCTTGTCTTCTCAACATCTTGCAAGGTTTTTCTTTTGAACAGTATGTCTACATTTCCTTTGTCTGAAAAGGAGGAAAATTCTCTTGAGTTTTCTTTTAGTGGGTGCAGCAATGGCTAAAAAACCATTTACAATCTGCAGCTTTGGCATTAAACACAAAACATTCTGCTGCCAAACATGTTTAGTCACACTCAAAATAACCTTTTTCCCCTAATAAATCTCACATATGAATCGGAAAATGTCCCTGAGCCTGCATCCTGCTTCACTGTTCTATCAGCCAACAGGAAGTTATCATGAAACAATACCGCCGGTCTCTCACGTTCAGACACCTCGCATTTTGTTACGGGATTTGAAAGTTGCAACATCATATGGATTCTTTCCACTAACGATGGCATGTGCATTACGTCTCTGAGGAAGTTATGTACACTAACGTCACCCGTCAAGTATCGTCGACAAATAATTGCAGCTGATTGTTGAAGGAAAAGGGAGGGGAGAGAGGTTGGGCCGCACTCATCAAACAGGTCCAACATAAATGTGTAATTTAAACTCTAATTTATCCACTTTGTAGTTGATGCTTTTCTCTGTAGTTGTAGGCTTTCTCTGCTAGTTTGCCTTTTCTACATAAAGCTCTGAGAAAGAAGAAAACTGATTAATCTGGTAATTATACTCAAAAGTAAGTGAAAACGAGTGGTTAGGGTAACAGTTCCATCTGAACAATAAGAAGGAAAAAAGATAAAACTGAAATTATCTCCAATAAAACAGATCAGATGTAATAGGAGATGTGGATCTTTTTCAGCTGATGTGACAGAATGAACCTCTCTGCATTTTTGATTCGTCACTCCGAGCACCAGACCGCACCATGGCGATTGATTTTGTAACGCTGTTGGCAAATAAATTCAGGGCACGCCAGTCTCAGTGTGAAAAGCACATCGAGGATCTCTGTCTGTGGAGAAGAGCTGCTAATAATTTATTTACATCTCAGGCAGGAAGTGAAGCCAGACACTGAGACCTGATGAGTTACTTCAGCATTACCTGAATTTGTCCTCCTCTTGCCCAGAGTTGGCACTTCAATACAGCTGCTCCATCTATTCTTGGATGTTTGACCTGTTACTCAGAACTATTTGAATGAACAACTTGATGAATAATATTTGCTATTAACAGCGCTGATCAAAATTATAATATCCCAACTTGCCAAATGACATTAAGGATTTTTAAAATATGTTAACTAACAATTAAAACAAAACTGAACAGCATTTAACTGTTAGAAATAAATGTGGCTTTTCTCTGTTGGCTGGTCTCCCGCCTGTAGTTTTGGAAAGTTGATCAGTTTGTTAATAAGAAAAGAAAACATTCATATCTGACAGCTGGTATCTGAAACAAACTAGAAATCTGCATCTATGAGTCCTCCTAGAATCTTTTACTGCACTTTAATCTAATCAGAAACACTATAATTAACTTGGAATGAATGGAGATTTTGACCTTTAAGTATAACATGAATAAAACACTGCCTTTGAAGGGCAGTTTGACACAGTAATAAGTAACGACAAACCCTCTTACACCAGTAAGAGGAACTCCTGTTTAGTGGTTAGATAACATTTTGGTTAAAGAATTAATTCATTAATGTGTAATTTCAAAGAGGCTGCTGAGATATATCTGACAAATCATTAAAATGTTTCAACCCATTCATTTATATTATGCAACAAACAGCGCAGCCAAACTCCCTGACCTTCAGATTGGTTTTGTTGACATGTTGGTACTGAAAACACTGCTCAAGTATCCTGCTGTAATCTCTCATTTCCCTCCCGTTTTGTGCCAGTTGTGCGTCCACGGTTGCATAAGTTTGTAGGTTTACACTGCACTACATGGACTTTACGAGTCATTTATAACATTTTTATTATGCTACTACACTTTTATTGTGTCCTAATTTGTATCTTATTTGTATATTGTCATTATTAATGCAAAACTAGCAGTATTTATACAACTTTCTATACAACTTGATATCTTTGGGAGCTACAGAACAGAGTGTCTTTGTTTTACCAGTCTCTCTTATGTGTATTCATCTCTGGTTATTGGACCACCCTTTGGATGCCTGACATTTCTGCTCATAACCCCTAAATATTTGTTGCTTTCACAGCTGCTTCAGGTTTTCTACAAAAGTTATGGTAATAGGTTAGAATTAGTTTAAACCTGAAAAATATTGTTGACAGTTTACTTTTTTGGATTGTTGGAGGTCCTGTAAATAAACTTGTGGATTATTTGCAAATACATTTAACCCTGGAACACTATCGCTAAGTACTTGTCATCAAAATATATCAAAATAGGACAATACATGACAAATTAAAGTAGTTTTCTTTCATTTTTAACTGTGCAATGTCCTAAGGGAGGGGGAAAAAAGCGCCATGAGGGGACCATATAAAAATGCATCAAAATAACTGAAATTAGGAGGCTGCAGGAGAGAAGACCAAATTATGGCAGATTTTGAGTGAGTAAAAATGACCAGCTAACTAAAATATTTCCTTAAAATCACTACTTTGTGATAGGTATTCATAACCAACGCGCTAAATAAAGATAGCATGCAAATTCCAGGACCACTCTTACTAACATTATTCCCTACATGCAGCTTTCAAATCCACCCAAACCTACTTTACCTTCTATCACTGTTGCCGGGTGAAAATCACCTGAGCACGTGCCTGTAGGAGAAAGCAGGTTCTGGATCAGGGAAACAAACATCCCTTCAAAGATGTCAAAGGCAATGCTGAAGCTACGCAGGCACCCATGACACTCAGACAAACGCGACATAATAAAAATCACGTTAACATGTTTGGTCAGTGAAAATCGCCCAGTGATAGTGTTCTGGGTTAACCAGATGTTAAATGTTTTAGATATGAAATGAATAAAGGAAAGATTACAAACTCACCTCATAAAAAAACATAAAAGATCGAAGGTATGAATTTTGCATGTTGGTCGGTCCTATTAGAAACTCTCCCTATTTTAAAATTCAGGTCAGCAATTCATCTAGACAATCATAACATACTTCACCAAAGTAGGTCTTTTCATCATATAACTCATTATAAAATCTTTTTTTTGACCCTTTACTATTGTCTAAAAGTAATTTGGTTGCACTTGTCATTTGTTGTGTCATCTTGTTGGTATTTTTGTATCCTTTCTCTGAATAAGTGAATCACAGTAAAGTGAAGGGAACCGCTAAGTTAGTTTATAGAACAGGGTTCCCTGGGTTTGTTCAAACATGAGCACTGCTTGAGGTATTCCCTCGTCAGTGCCTCACCTGGGGGTGGAGGCCCGACGTGGATGTGCATAAGAAGGGATCGGCTGTTTTCATAATAGAAACAGAGCTTTGGGGATGATAATCACTGTAATTAGAAAGGGAGTGAGTTGAAGCAGTAGCAACCATGAATGTCAGGGAGAGGATTAATTTTTTTTATTGCCTGCTTGGACTCTGACCTGTTACATAAGGTGGCAGGTGGAGGTGCTCCTCAGTGGGATACTTTGAACAAAGTGTGTGATAGATAGCTGTTTTTAAAATCGAAGTCTCTTGAAGTCCATCCACTTCCTACGTCTTTATGAATGATCAATATTTTAGGTATGAATCTCTGCTTGATTTGTTGATCTTTTGACCCTGTAAGGATTTTAAAAAACAGGCTCAATAAGCTGAAGAAACGAAACAAGTCATTGTGTGGGGACAACGAAATCCCAGTGCACATTTTATCAGACTTAGATAGTGTTAGGCTAGGTGGTCTACTGACCCTTGTCCAGATAGAAACAGGCCATCTGAACATTTATTGTATGAAAAGGCTTAAAATGTCACTCTCAGGCATTCATGGTTCCCCGAGGATGATATCCTAATGACTTTGATCCGCTGCCTATTTTCTTCATAGTTGGTTTTCACTGGACTATTTCTACTACCTTGAACTACTAAATCACTTAACCGCTTTAGCGATCTGATGACACAGTAATACCTTTCTAATGAAACATGCGCAGCAAGGAAAAGATTAAGGTGTAGCCTAAATAAAGAATATCTTAATCATACGTGCTATCATCTTTAATTCGCCCCTCCCCTGCGCGGTCATTTTGCTGATATCAGTGACATAAGAAGTGAGCTAATGAAAAGCACAGAACCTGCAGTGATAGTAAACCAGGACAAATTCCTCCCTCCGTCATGTGGGTGGTTAATTATGTGGTTTGTCGAAAGAGATTTCTCCACACCATGTGCCAGCCAGATCTGCTTAGATACTGGTATTACTGGGGTTTGTTACCTTACTTGTTTCCATGATGTAGACTCAGGACATGACTGGGATCCTTCAAATCAGGGGAAACGTAATGCCTACTATACTATATTTAGTATTTACAAAAGAGGGAATGGTTGTAACGTCCACACAAGTTGCAAAGTTGTTCGTAGACAAAATATTGACTTTGTTTCCTCAAAATAAATGATGGCAGTAAACCAACAGCAGAGGTCATTTGGTAAATCACCACAAGCTGCAACGTGGTTTAGGCTTTGGCGGGGTTAGGGCAGTTATGGTACAGAGACCTTACACGGATTCAAAGTTGGTATATTTAATGATAATACACGCTTTCTCTAGTCTTCTGACCACTCACAGCACTATTACCCCAAATGTCACACTCACCCGTTCACACCACATTGTACAGAGCCAATCAGGTTTTGACTAATCTTATTCACACACACATTTAGGACTGGGAGCACTTGAGCAACCTGCAACCTTTCGACTCTACCACTAATAATGCTAAGTCTAACGTCTGATTGTTTAATTAATTGGCTGATAAGAACACTGTTGCTATGGAAGCACAAACACCAGTTTCACGTCATTTATAAAACAATGACACTATCTTTAGTCAGTTGTTGGTGTTAACCTGTTTCTATTTTTAGTCAACAGTTGGGTAATGAGGATAGTAGATAGAAGATGAGTGGTTATGAGGTAAAATCCCTTTTCTAAACTTTGACTCAACTGTCTCTGTTACCTAAACTTTTATATATATATTTATATGTGGATGACTCCAGTGTGACAGTCCTGCACTTTGTTCATCTGTAAACCAACTCAACCACCTCCTGAAAACTCACGCTTCATTCATAAATGTAGTTTTTTATGTACGCCAAGAGATGCTATTTGTGTCACATCACCAAGGCAGCGATTGCATATTCAGTATGATATAATTACGAAAGAGGGCTAGTAACACACAAACATAATTCTTGACGATGGGCTTGTTAAACTTGATGACCCAGTTGGCAGTCTGTGGTCAGCTGCCATAAAATCTGATGTCAGCGTTCAGTGTCCAGAGGATGGATCATTTATGGCTGGTAACTCTTCTCTCAAACTACCTCCAACACAGATATCTCTGCCTGAATAGACATTTACATAATTTGACTTGAAAATGGAGCTTCCTCCGGCACACTTGGTTTCAAAAGGAATTAACACTGTTAATCAGATTTTACACACAGTTTTAGCTCATGATTGCCATTGAAACTCAGTACTGCTTATCAGCGAGGGTCATGATTGTTACGTGATTCAGAAACCACCAGCCTTGAACTTTTTAATATCCTCCCAATGATGGCTTAAAGATCACAGTTAATGAGAAGGTTGAAGGACCTATAAAGTTTTACAGAGCCGCAATCAAGCTTCTTATTGGGCTGAATTGTTTCTCTTTCGAGTCCAAACTACAGTCCAAAGATCAAAGTTGAGGTCGTCAAGACTCACTACAAGCCAGGGCAGAGCTTTGGGAAGAGACAAAGCTGATGGAGCTTTTGTTTTCTGCTAGTCTATTGTGTTGAACCTGTTACTCACATATTTGACATTTGACTCACACTGTTCCAGAAAATAACAAAGCAAACTTATCCCAGAACCGAAACTTTTATATTTCTATTATATCACAAACATTTAGCTTATACAAGCAGTTATAATAGTTTCTTGACCTTTGGACACTGATAAATAAAATCTGATACATTTAATTTAGCAGATTTTACATCCTAGACCTTTACCAGGCAAATTCAGATAACAAAGACCGTACAACATCTCTCCTGTGCACTTGTTCTGTGCAAAATAATCACTCTCATTTCTGGTTGTAGTGATTCTCTGATTAGCTTCGCAAATGTTGCATCTTGAACAAATAGTTTGAAAAGGGTTAAGGGTTTCTACTTGGGAAAAGAGTTCTACAGCACTATAAGCTCCCAAAAAAATTTGCTTATTCTTTATTGGACTTTATTGGACTATTCTTTAAAGGACCTAAAACAGAGCCCTGAGGAACACCGCAGCCTGTTTTTTGTAATGTTAGAAGTATATTAGTGCAGTATGAAATGCATCTTGAATAGAATACTGCAATGATGAAATACTTTTGAAGAAACACATTTGAAGATATTATTGCCAGGGCCATATTTTGCAGGCTGCTTTTTGTCAACTACAGATAGATGTCAAATGTGAAGTTTTATTTTCCTTTTCGTGGGTCTTTAATGTTGTCCTGAAAAGTGCTCAAAGGGATATTCCGGCATAAAATTAATTTAGGGTCAAACACACCGTAACACCAAGTTAGACAACCCCTCGAGAGATGAATGTTGCCGACCGCTTGCTTCTCTAGTTATACCAACTTTAGTAACAACCGCACGATAGCAATACACAGCGGTCTGAGGAGCCATGAAGAAATCTCAACCAAAACGCCACTCTATAGCCACAAATAATGCTCAGAACAGCACCTAACTTCATCAACAGGACATATAGGGTCCCAGCCATAGTACTAGCCACCAAACATCTTTTAACTTTGCCTAATTTCTTAAGCAAAGAGACTAAACACAACTCACCTACTCTCTTCCAGCAGCCGCTTGTTTGTAGTTAGACCTCAGGCCAGTTCATTACGGACTACAGCGGGGTGACGCAGCTCAAGGAAGAACATTTCTGATAATTTCTTCATGGAAATGCAACCAGACCGAGACGCTAAGGCAGAAGAACTATCGTGTCTGCAAAATGATCAATATGGTGATTATTACTCCAAGGAAATGATAAAGAAATGATCATAAATGTTCTTCCTTGAGCTGCGTCACCCCACAGCAGTCCGTAATGGACTGGCCAGAAGTCGAAAAGAAGAAGAGGAAAAAAAAAGAAAGAAGAAAAGAAAGAAAGAAAGAAAGAAAGAAAGAAAGAAAGAAGTTTCTATTCTCTTCACATTTTGTTTGTTCTTACTCGGTCCACTCTGTCATTCTGTCGATGGATGAGAAGAGTGGAGTTTCCCACAGTTCTTGAAGGCATCACCAGCCTCCTCAGGTTGGGAGGGAGCGTTTACAGCACGCAGCAAAACTCCGACACACGACACCTCTGTGTTACTCTTGAGCACAGAGAGGTTGCGTCGCAGGTGCGAGACCGAAGAGACTGACCGCCTACAGACACAAGCGGACAACAAACGACCCAACTGTGCAACGACTCATTTCGACTTGTTCCTGGACACAGAACCAGCAGGTTTTTCACTGTGTCCAGCTGCATTGTGTGACACGACCATCCTGGTGTCGGACAACATTCAACAGCGCTACCATGCCGACTCTGCGACACTCGTACACGGTGACAGCACCGGAGGAACCAGCCCGTCTCCCCACAGACAACCCCGACCCGCGGCGGAAGAGCCCACCGTCGTTGTCCCGGTCCAAGCTGGTGTCCACATTCATGGGTTTGATCATCAACCAGGCCAAGGTGAGTCCACCTCTCCACCCCTGTCACAACTTTCTGAAAGCACCCTCTCTTCCTGAGACCCTTATTTATTCTAACTTTTTCAGACATAACACCGTTTTTCTGACTTATAAAAGTTTATATGCAGATACCTGCATACTGTGTTTAAACAGGGGTGTCATCGTAGGTTTTGTTGCAGGGGGGCTTAGCCCTGAGAGAGGGTCTTGCAAATTTTACCCCAAAAAACGTATATATTTTTTTAAAGGGGTGCAAAGGCAAATTGAAGGTTAAGCTTTGCTGATTGTTTCTTAATATGTGCAAGCAAGGAAGATCTCACTATGACCAGTACACTTTGCAGGATAATATAATGGTTATTTGGATAATTTGGGGTACCTCAAACATATGTGGAGATGTTTAAAGCCCCTGTGAGAGGATTTTGCTGTTAATGAAACAGTCTGATGTATTTTTATGGTTGTCAAAAGCAAACAAAAACCATTAGCTCCAAACTTTACACATTTTAGTTTTTGTTTCTTATGCCTGAAACTGATTCAAGGGGAAAGTGCACAGAAGGATCACTCTCTCTATACTTGTATAACAGCAAAGATATACTTTTTGACAGAAAAGGTTCACTTTTTCACAGATTTTTGACAGAAAATTGATGAGGATTGAAACTCTTCACAGCAGCTCTACAGAAATCAATCGAAAATGTGTCTCATATTGTTGATTTGGTTGAATGATATGCACATTTCTATCCTATCAATGTGGGAAATCATAATTTTTTACATTTTTTTATGTTGTAACAGAGCGGTGTAATTTAGGCCTTTAGATTACTATCATAGAAGTGAAAATAACCAGATCATTTCTTCGCAGTATCACAGTAAGCACCAGAGAGATTTATGCAGGACCTAAGTTGATTTCTGCGCAGAAATTGAGAAATGCAAGCAACCTTATCAACTCTGACACCCCCTCCTAAAAGAGCAGAGAAGCCTTGTGGAGGTCTAAATCTGACCTTTAGGTCCTTATCACCCCTTAAGTGGAGGACAGGGCGGCGAGCACACACACACACACACACACAGACACAGGAAGAATCAGTGAAGGGAGTGAAGCACAGACAGAGCCTGCCTGCCTGCAGAGCCTGCCTGCCTGCATGAGAGCAACAATTTGAGTGTGGCGTTGGTTACGTAACAGGACGGAGTGCGGCTGATAAGGAATGTGTCCAGACTGTCACCTTATCATCAGCACAGAACATTTTGTTAACTCACAGCTGCCCACAGCCTGCAGCGCATTTTGGTGTCCATGTGGGTTTGATGTGTTTACGTCAGTGTGAAAGAGTTATCCGGCTTCACTCCAAGGCCACACTTGAACTCTTTGTCCTTGTTAATTCTGGGGGGATATTTTTAGACTCTACAGAGGATCTGAGCTCTGAGTGGTATGCATGCTTGGATTTAAACTCAGTATAAAGAACTGTATTGTTCTGACCTTCGAGTTTTAATGAACTAGTTTTTGTAATTGTGCTAATTAGCTCTTTCACAGTAAATGACTTTCGCTTTGTTTTGGTGCTGCATGCTAACAGTTTTAGCCTTCTCCCTGAACTCTGCTGATCCCCTAAATTTACCTCTTAAATCAATTAATAAGTCAATTAATGACACACTTACTGAGCTTGGGCCAGGCATTGCAAAAGAAACTTAATCAGGCAGAAGCCTAAATATAACCAGACCCAGAATTGGCCCAGAAGTTCAGTTTGGGACTCAGTTATTTAATCAGTGATCGGTGTTGATAGTATTTTCTGAGTTTAGATGGGAAAATATAGAAACATTACAGCCTGATTTCAAACAAAGTATAGTCAGTGTGTAAAATGTTGTTAAAATCTGAATTTGGTGATTTGCAGATCATCTTATTAAAAAAGTGCAAATGCTGTCAAGTGCCAGTTAAGCATAACCTGTGGCCTGATACTCAAAAAGCTCATGTTTGCTGTCCCAGAAGTCAAACAAAAGTTGACGGTTTTCACAGTTGAGATGCTGAAAATGAGGATGATTAGCATGTTCCTTGAAAAATACTTCAGCAGGGTTAGAAAAAGTTGTTTTTCTTCAATTTGTATTTCAGTTCCCCAATATTGCTAGGCGATTTTGCATGAATAAAAGTGTTTTGATGGATGTACTATGAGACTTTATGAGACGTTTTCGTCACCATACTTTGTAAGGCGGCTAATGTTTGACTGCTGTCATAATATTTTTAAAAAAGTAAAAATGACATCAGCCTCTAAAAGAGCACATCTCTCATGCTGATGTGACCTCGATGTCATACTTATATTATTTACGGTCATGTGAATTTTAGATGATTTTTTCTCAGTTGTTTGGGTATTTTTCTCTAGTACTGTTGTCATGAAAGTACCTCTTTGGCACTTGCCTGGCCCTGCAGTTTAATAGAAGAGATTTATGTGATATTGTTTGAAAGGGAGTGGTATATCTGGGAGTGTTGCTCCCCTGGTCACATGTTGCACAGCTTTGACCGGGCATGCATAGCTGATTTTCAGGGCATTATGCTCTCTTGCTTCTCTGAAGGAGTGCCAATCTGTGTGTGCGTTCTTGTTCAGAGCACCTGAACGCATCACTGACTCGCTTTTTGGACGGGTCTGTTAAATAACAAGCCGCCTGCTGAGCTTGCCGAGCCCTGCTGGTCAGTATTCGCAGCAGTGCAGCAGATTGAGACTAGCACCATATGGTCACCTTCAAATGCTGCGGAAAAGATAATAAACAAAGAGAAATAAGGGAGTGATATTGCAGCCAAGAGCGCTGAGGGCTGCTAGTATCACAAAATAAATATCCTCAGAGAGGGGGATGAAATAAACAGCACTACGAGGTCTTCAACTTTCCACTGAGAGTCCTCAAATAAGGAAAACTACGTTAGGATTATGCTAATCTGCTCATGTTTACCTCAAATACAACAGACCTACCTGACATACAGGTAGCTGACGTAGCTGCTGTGTCTACAGTTTGTGTGCGTACACACTGTGTTGTATGTTCTCATGCAGCTTCATAGCCGTAAGCAGAGGTACTGATGTGTGACATGGCTGACTTGGTGCGAATCATCGAGTTACACTGTTACTATGTTCCCTTCACAGGTCATAAGGTGATATGTCACCTGTAAATACTCAGATACCATCAGACTGACGTTAGTGCGAGTGGAAAATACCAAAAGTAATGATCAGTTTACTCAAATTAACCTGTCAAAGATGAACTTTTGTAGTGACATATGAAGGGATTTATGAGCATTATTTCTCTATGTGACTCATGGTGTTCACTTCTGATTGTTAAACCACTCGTATCATCAACCAAGATGACAACTTATTATTCTAACAAGTATGAGGAAGTTTTGAAAACTCATAAAACTTATAAAATTATACCGACAGTTTGAGAGAATGAGTTCGATTACATTTGTTCGACACTCCAGCGTACTCCGTCTTGATTGTAGAGCAACAAGCCTCTGATTTATTGTTGCACCAAGCTTGACTCAGGTTCTCTTTAACTAGTCTGACCATGTTTTGACACTGAATTCATGTTACTTATTGAAGTTTTTAGGAGCCATCTTTAGGTCTCTATTAAAGTCATTTTAAATCTGGTCTTGCTCTGGTTTTGAACCTTTAAAATAAGGATACAAAAAAATGTCTTTTTTTTCCGCTGATGGTCTTGTTTGCTTTTGCATGTCACACAAAAGCATCAGTATGAATTTCCCTTTTATAAACATAACAAAACTCCTCATGGGAGCTTTAATAATTTTGTTCTGATCTACTTGATCAATTCCGATATTTTTGATGGTATAGTCAAGATAATCCCATTTTTGCCCCTAGAGAGCAATCATCTACTGTTGAAACAGGTGAAACAGTTTGGGACATCAGCTGTTGGATATTTCATGAAACAGTCCTGTTTGTTTTAACCTAGAGGTCTTTAATTACCAAAAAAAGGGAAACTAGATCTCCCTTTTCCCCTGCAAACATGCCATCTATCCATATCCAGATATTTTAAACCTGATGTTTCTGATTGCTCAGGAACTTTTCAGTCACACACCATCAGCAGTATTTATCCGAAGCGCCTTTATCAGCACATGTTCGGTGGCTCTCAGCATGTGCACCACCTTTTGCTTATAGATGATTAACACCACACCACCGGAGGGGCCGGATACGACAGAAACTCAACTCCTCGCTCCCCGCCTGAGGCCCTGATGCGAAACTCTTCACACAAACATTTCAACACGGCGTTGTTACAAATTCTGAGTAGAGCTTTTCTCCTCGCCCCTCGTCACATGGCGCTGTGATGTCACGTGTGATTTTGAGCTGGTTGGTGCAGACAGAGGTCAGGACACACTGTAGTGTTTCATTAAAGCATGTGCTAAACAGCGGCTGATATCCTGAACACAGCGCTGCACTGATGCTGCCAACAATGTGACAGTCAGATGGTATGCATAGAGTGAATACCATACGGTCATGCAGTCTTATTCACACTCCGGGAATGAAGCTGGGCTGCTGTCAGAGAGGAGTTTCATCACACTGAGTCTATGTGCAAGATGATCTGTGTGGCTGTACAGCAGGAAACACATTCAGGGAAGAACAAAATTATCGGAGGCTTCTTGCAGCTCATTTTGAAACGTGCTGCACGTGTCTGTTCAGTGTTGGTACATCAACACCCTCATACTTATCAAGGATGTTTATTCGACTGACGTGACGGACTGGAAGACTGTCAGTGTCGGTTATTAAAAAATAGTTTAGACTCTGCTTTTTGGAGCTGCCTCAAACTGGATCGAGGAATTGGGGATATGTTATGTGACGGCAACCAGAAGTTTGTTGGACCGTCAAAACAGCCACAGTTATGTACATTTTTGGTGGGGATGGGGGGTTACATATTTGATCGACAGTCTGGACACATTATAACTTCCCCATTGTGCAGGGCTCGACACGAACTTTTTTCAGAAGGGGCACATGTTCTCCTTAGTTGAAAAAGTAAGGAGCACACAAAGAACTTTAGGGGCACAATGAAAACTGATCAAATGGCGTGTGTCTTATTGGTCGACTTAAGTACTATTATTTGAAATCAATTTTAGGTCTTTTGGTCACATGACATGGAAACTATTGAAGAAAATGTTCAAAATTTGCCTTTAAATTTAACACAAAAATATTTTAGAGGACAAATTAGGAAAATAAAGAGGTGTGTCTTAGTGTCCGACCTTAGTGCTATTATTTGAAATCCACTTTAGGTCAATTGTCACATGACACGGAAGCTATTGAAGGACAACAGCCTTTTTTGAGAACCTCAACCGGTAATTTATTGATGGTCTCTTATTCGACACCCGACGTTGACAGTGAGGGTGCCGAGTAGATTTAACCACGCTGCTGTTGCTACTATGGTTACAAAGAGTGAGAAGACACCAGTAGATCCTCAGTCAGATATTCAACCTAAAACTAACTTCACCGCGGTATTTACATGAAAAAACATTTGTTGCCTTGGCTGATTTCTTTATGCGTACATGTGCCCCTTAATACATTTTACAATTGAAACGGTCGCACTGTCGAGCCCTGTTGTGGATAAAACTTTACCTAAAAGGCAAATTTTCCACTGTGGAGAGACTTAAAACCTTTTGATTGACACACACACACACAAAAAAAACCTTACAAGTATATGAAGTGATGAATTAATCCAATGAAAGTGGTTTGGCACGCAGTCTCGCTTTATTTTACAACCTTAGACTTCATGGATGCAGTCTCAGTGATCCCACCCCATGATGAATACCAAAACTGGTGGAAAATCTCACTCAATCTCATCTTTACTTAACCTAAAAACAAGTGAAGAAGAAGTGCAGCTGAGGTTTTGAGTCTCTTGGCAAACAGCTACAGTGTACCTGCCCGTCCATGAACTCGGCCGCACCCTCACTCGTGCACATCTGTACAGAACACTTAATCTTGATACCTCCAAATGAATGAGTTATAAAAACATTCGAACACCCTGCAGGTCGGTACAGCGTGCTCTGATAAAGACATTAACTATTTTGATTGAAACCACACTTTGAACCAGGCTGTAAACATCCAACACATGAGCTTTAGGAGCCAGCCTCTGGTGGACGTTTGAGGAACTGCGTGTTTTTGCACTTCCGCTTTGGGGTCCTTGTAACACTGGAAGTTGCTGCACAGATGCAACAGGTGGAGTTAAATATCACCCTCAAAACCAAGGGCCACATATACTTCTTGGTTGCAGCTCATATCAGCCGTATGAAAGACTTATTATGTTGGCATCCATTGCTATATTTAGCATCAGATGCCAAAATAACCTCACCCCTGTGACTGTCTTTGCACACTCTTTTCTTGGACTTTTTTTGATATATTTTTATTTTCTTCTATCTTAACAGAACAAGAGTCCTCAAGGCCTGGTGGGACTAAGGAATCTGGGCAACACAGTGAGTGCTTTTACTTTGAGTCACGCAGCGTTTTCTGACCTACTGAAACAATCACGGGTCCTGGTTTCATAACTCAATAAGTTTTGTTTGTTTGTCTCTGTTTCCAGTGTTTTATGAACTCTATCCTCCAGTGTCTGAGTAACACTCCCGAGCTGAGAGATTACTGCCTGAGAAACATCCACCGCACAGACCTCAACAACAACTGCAGGACAAGCGCCGCTCTCATGGAAGGTAACACTAGACCCCGGCCTGTGAAACAAGCGTTGGCAGCTTTATGAGGAACTTTACACACCTGTGAGGTGCTCTGTCAGTGTTAGATCACTTTATGGCCCTGCAGTAGGTCACATATGGTCGGTCAATGTTCAGCGCTTATACAACATAACGCTGCTGTGCACCAATTCTCTGCAGTCGCTCTAACAACTGTGTACTTGGCTTACTTTCTTTGCTAATCGCCTGGAATCACAAACACAATCAAAGCGTTCAGCTCAACCCAATTTTTTGCTGCACACACCCTGAGTTCAGAGGGTGTGTTTGCACTGCATGTTCTCACAGATCAATCTCAGATCTACTGTGTCTGCAGTGAAAAAGAAAACATCCCAAATGTCGAGCGCTAAAAATGCCCTGGTTTTGTCGAAACAGTTGCATAACGTCACTTTATGTAGCACAAAAAAGTTGCTCACCTAATTTGTTCTTAATTTGTGTCAGCATCTGTTTCCTCATTTAGCACACACATGCATTTTACAAAGTATTTACCCCTGAGGGGACGTCTGCAAGGCTGTTTTACAGCTTTCGACTGCATGCAACATAACCGAGAACAGAATGACTCAGAGTGCATGACAAAAAATAGTTCTAGTGTCGTCCCATGACTGTCTTTAAACATGCAAGTTACAGTAAGTCAGTGCTGCAAGGTGACATCTGGGACAGCTGTGTTCATTCATCAAACTGAACTGAGATAGAGTTGAAAGCTCTGAAATACAGTGCCCAGCATAAGTCAGTACACGTCCTCTTAAAAAGTAATTACTCAATATCTAGATGAGCAAGAGTACAATTTCCAAAGTTTTGACAAAGCTGAGTTTAACATGACATTTTATTTTCCGTAAGATGAAAATAAGGGTGATACGGTGACTAAAATTGAGCTTTGCTCCCAGAACTTTGATTGGGGTGTACTCATTTTTGCACCCTGATTTTAAACTGAAAAAAATGCTTTTTTGTATGCAACTTAAAAAACCTTGTTTGCAATCAATGGCCTACATTCTGGGGAGTATTTTGTTGTATAGTCTGACATAAAAAGTGTTAATTTCGAAAGGTTTTCTCACAACTCTGAAGGGGTGTACTCATTTATGCTGAGCACTGTAGCTACGACAAGAGATAACTTTTTGACCCGTCTAAAGGTAGAAAAAAACACATACAGAGTTTGTAATCTGGTAGAGTGGACAACTTTATCGCTGCTTTCTACAGCAAAATACTGCCAAATTACACAGAACGATGAGGTTACACCATGCGGGTAGTAGATTTTCAATCTCACCATGTAAGTTCATGCTGCTGTTTATGAACTCCAAGTGTACAGCCAAAGAGGAACAGCTTTGTTTGTAGAGATTGCAGATATCTTTGTGCTCATTTGAGGTTTTTCTCCTTTTTTGCCCTCTCAGAGTTCGCAAAGCTGACTCAGAATCTGTGGACTTCTGTGAACAACGAGGCCATCAGTCCCTCTGATTTTAAGAGCCAGATTCAGAGATACGCTCCTAAATTTGTGGGTTGCAAGTAAGTCTATCTTGCTTTTAAATCTCTTTATTTGAATTAGTTTTAGAATTTAATCTTGATCCAGTGAGTGCATGGAAAAATCTGATAACTCTTTTGCTCTGTAGTCAGCAGGATGCCCAAGAGTTCCTGCGCTTCTTATTGGACGGTCTCCATAATGAGGTGAACAGAGTGACGGTTCGCCCTAAGGTGTCTCTGGAGGACTTTGACCACCTTTCGTAAGTTGGCGCTCGCCCCACCGCCACTACATCGCACCTCTGATCCTAATAAATCACTCATAACCTGCAACACCTCGCACTGCCAAGAAAAACCCACTGAGTCAGGCCTGAAGACGGAGTAAAAAATGTTCTAATGAAGTGGAAACATGCAGTGTGATTACTTAGAAGTTCTCAACGCACGTCAATGTTTAGATACTTGAATGTTGAAGGAGTACGATCACGATGACATTACTGACGTTATTCTTAGCGCTGCATCAAAACCAGGATCTCCAGACCTGAGCATTAAAACATTTGTCTCTTGAAAAAAAAAAACAAGGCTATTCAAGGAAACATGTTTAGTTGTAACAAGTAAACCATGAAATAAAAAGATTTAGTCGTCAAACAAACACCGGTTTGATTGTTCTGCTGTGTTTTTTTTTCACAGAGACGAGGAAAAGGGGAAGCGGATGTGGAATATGTATTTGGAGAGAGAGGACAGCAAAGTTGTAGGTAAGAGATTCAAAGCAGTTATTCTAAACCATCATTAATTTAATTATCCAAACTTTTCATTTTAAGAAACGGTCATTCAGGGCTTCATACTGAAAAAGATAAAAAAAAAACTGAATCAAACTGAAATAGAGACAAAATTGTAGTAAAACACAAATAAAGTGTCTGGAAAGTCACTTTAAAGTTTTCTGCATGTATTTAATGTCAACTCCTTTCTCTTCTTTCTGCCTTTTAGATTTATTTGTCGGACAGCTAAAAAGCTCTGTGACCTGCACCGTCTGCGGCTTTCGCTCCACAGTGTTTGATCCTTTTTGGGATCTGTCCATACCTGTCGCACAGGTAAGAACCGCCGCAGACACAAATATAGTTCCTTCTAAAGGTTCAAAGCTTCTTCTAAGTGGTAAATTAATTGTGTAGTCAGAAGATTTAGTATTCCAAAGATTATATTGCTGCACAAACTTACTCCTGGATGCTGCATGAATGTGCACACCTGAATCCTCTCATCACATTCTGCAGAAACCCAAATTTTACTAAGTGTATTTGTCTAGTTCGAGTCAAAATATCCTGCTACTCTCATTATTAGTCACATTCACAAGTCTCCAAGTAAACACTGTTTCAAGATGTCATCATCCAAAACTAAAGCTGGGATTGCTTGAGGAAATATGGCAAATGGTACAAAGTAATTGAAGCGTTAATTTGGCTTGTAATAACTTGAGACAAGATAATAGTCTTGACCTCACTGGTGGATGTGGCTTACATTAAGTGTAAGGAGATATTTTGACGAGATCAGACGAGCCAAATTGCCTTTTTTGTTTTTTTTTTAGGATGTTTCAACTCCACAAAAAAGGAGCTATAATCCTCGTTTTTTGTTTTCTGATCCATGCTCTGTCTCCACAGAAGAGCACAGGTGAAGTGACCCTCAAAGACTGCTTGAGACTCTTTACAAAAGAGGACGTCCTGGATGGAGAAGAGAGACCGGTAAGAGTCACTACACTTCAACTGTAAAGGGGATACAGATGTTACAGAGCAGAAGTTTCTCACTTCTTTCTTTTTGTTCTTTCTCTCTCTCTCTCTCTCTCTTTCTTTTAGACATGTAACAAATGCAAAGCCAGGAGGAAATGCACCAAAAGGTTCAGCATCCAGAAGTTCCCTCAGATCCTCGTGCTTCGTATCCTTTCACCTCATTCCTGCGCTGTTTATTTAAGACTTCCTCTATGCAAATGCTGCAAACATGTTTGTTCACTCTGAACCAGTTTGGAGTTGGAAGGCTGACTTGGGTGTGTGTGTTCAATTCACCTTTATATGATGTTTTATGTCACTCAGAGACAAAGAGCAGATGTGTTTGAAAGCTTTTGAAAGATGTTCAGCCTCATTGCGCTCATCGTTAATAAGCCATTTAGGCAGTAAAGTGCTGTATGTGTCACCCAAGAGCTAGAAGAAACCAAAACATAACAAAACATTGAGTGCTCATGCTACTCAGTGTTTGCTATGCTGTGTGCATTAGAATGAAAAACTGTACAAGGCTCCAAGATGTGAATAACTATGACTTTTGCAAAGAAATCACATTTAAGCTTTGTGCATGAAAAATTGCCATTGCCAGGTGAGACGGCTTATCCATCACGAGCCATGCTGCTTTCTTATAAATCAACATTGATATATGTAGGTTTGAAATTCGGTTTGGGGTCTTTCGGGTCCAGTATTGTTGTCATTTGAAGCAGTTGGAGCTCCTTGACGCTCTGTTTCTCTCAGACCTGAAGCGATTCTCAGACTCCAACATCCGAACCAGCAAACTGTCCACTTACGTCAACTTCCCTCTGAAGGAGCTGGACCTGCGGGAGTTCTCCTCGGAGAGCAGCGGTGAGTGCTTTCACAAGATGAGAAAGGAGAGGAGAGGAAGGTGATTGTCCACTCTCCAAGGTTGGCTCGGTTTGACGAGAATGAACTGACAGTGAGTGTGTTTTCTCTTCGCAGAGCGTCCTGTGTATAACCTCTACGCCGTGTCCAACCACACGGGGAACGCTTTGGGAGGCCATTACACGGCGTACTGCAAGAACCAGGCTCTGGGGGAGTGGTACAGCTACAATGACTCAAGGTACCTGCTCATATATCATCACTTGACCTCATGCGTGGTGTGATCAGAGTCATAAACAAAGGCGTGTTAAAAAGTTGGCCGATTAAAAGTACAGACTGAGTGTCTGTGGTTAGGAGTGACTCCGACATGAATCTAGGCGCATTCTTTACTAATTATAGACGTGTTAATAGTTTAAAACCCTGCCTGCCAGCATGTTTCCTCCTCACACAAACACTGACCTGTGGCTTTCTTTGAATAACAACATGATATACTTCATATGCTCTTTGCAGGGTGAGCCCCGTGTCCTCCAGCCAGGTGCGCAGCAGCAACGCCTACGTCCTCTTCTACGAGCTGACCCCCTCCTCACACAGCAAATACCAGACCTGTCGGCTGTAGACTCTCTGCAAACATGAAGACCTGAATCAAACTGGGCCTAAAAAGTGGAGTCAAGACACTGCCTGCTGCGAGAGAGCTCCACCTGGTGGGGAAAGTACTGCTATTACAGACTGATAAAGGCACGGAGCACGAAGGAAAACACTGGCTTTTAGTTTTGGAGGGTGGAAGGTGGATATGAGAGCACATTTGCACTTGGGTGGTGGTGGAGCGACACTGAAAAATATACTTTAATCACAAGAAGATGGTGCAGAAATTCAGTCACAGGTATATCAGTGGTTCACTGTGTGAGATTAAATGAACAAAATGACTTTTTGGTTTATTTTTTACTCCAAAAACAAACTTAGAAACATGCCCAGACCTGTACCTGCACCACCTTTTATTCTGTTTCGATGCACTTTTCACATGGACCTTTTTTATGCTTCAGTGCAAACTCGATACCGCCCCACATGCACGGTGTGTTTTACTCTCTTCCCCTCTGCCAGTAGTTGAAAGTGTATGCTGTAGATGTCATTTAACAAGGCCTTACGGTTTCCTCTTAGATGAGTGGAAATCCTCCAATAGAAAGACTTTGTTTTGTGTGTCGGAGCACATTTTTATTTTTGTACAGTATTTATGGACAGCACAGTGAATGTATCTGTACTGATGTAAAGCCAAAACAACCAAAGCAGCTGTGTAAAAATGCTAAAACAAAACTTCCAACAGCAATAATGTTGCTGACTTTGCCTCTTAGTCATATCAAAGTGTAGAAATGATTAAAGCTCAATGTTAATTTACACCGTCTCACATGTTTCTTCAGTAGGTTTCGGGTTAATTATTATGTATTTAGAGGAGTAGAGCAGTAATAAAACTGTTCATTCAGCGTATCATTAATGTAAACATGATGAACTACATGCAGAAATACAAGCCAAGGAGTTGAGATTGTGTTTGCTTTAGTTATGAGGGATGACATAACCAGCTTAAAACGACCATTAATGCTCAGCCCCTGTATTTAGAACATAGGGGAGACCAGGGCTTGTTGTCACACTTTCTACACTCTTATATATCTTGAAATCAATACATCGTATATAAACAAAATGTGTACAAGATGAAAGACTAAAGTCTCAGGTATATATTTCGTATTCATGTCATTTTCATATCTTGTGTCAGTGCAGAGTTATAAGCAATCAAATAGAGAGTGTGAACATGTGACATGTTGTCCCACCATCTGGTAAGTTCTCTCACTCCATGGGGTTAAGATGTCACAGTGGATTTTACAGCTAATAAAACAAGGACAAAATGATCATTTTTTACTTGAAAGTAAACATCAAAGTCAGGCACAGAAAATTAAAATTAAAATGTTTATCATTGGGCTAGAAAAAGACTTTGAACAAACATTAACATCAAATATTATACAACATGCTCTGGAGTTTGGAGAGCTGTCTGACTCTGTATTTCGGCTGGGGTGGATGGTAGTTGACATTAAAGTCCTTTGTTGTACTCTAGATTGATTTATTAGCTAGGGTTGCTGTCTGACTGCCCACAGCATCACGTCAGGAACCGCACTGCCACGTATTTCTTTTGAAATTCCTGACCATGTCTTTTTGCTTCCTCCTCTCCTTTAAACCACTCTTTTTTCTGCAAAAATAAAGTCAAAATTTCATTATGACAACTGCTGATAAGCAGACTCTCTATGTTAATTTTTATCCCTTTTAAACATGTGACAACTAACCCCGAAATGACTGAGACGTGTTTCCCCAAACTACCACGTTTGCTGATTAAAGCTCTAGCTTAAAGTTAGCTCAAAACTGAACGACGACTGAGGTCTGACAGGATGCCTTAATGGCTCCTCTAACAAGTCCACATGTATCACTGCTAGGATTTTTATCTGGAAGAAGCTTATTTTAAAATATATAGGTTTTTTTTTTTACTTTGGGTTGTGCGAAACGGTGAATCGGCGCTAATCTCAGCTCACAATGTGCTCTTCTCTTCTCAGACAAGACACGACCCCTGACCATGTAAAGGAAGGAAACTAGTATTCCACTTTTTAGTTGTGCCCACTGGTGGCAACGATAATTGCAATGTGACAACTTACCCATGTGACAACAAGCCCCGGTCTCCCCTACCTTTTTTTTTTTCAGTAAATATCTATAATATTTACTCAATAGTGGCTTTATTTGTCCAAGTGTTGTAGTACTGAGCTGGTTAAACAGTGTGAAAAGAAGCTCAATGTGGATGGACATTATATTATTTGTGGGCAGATTTCTTATTTTAACGCACAACTCTGAGCTTTGATCGCCTTTTTTACAGAGGGCGTATGCTGAAGTCACATTAAATGTAATTTTAGACTGTGTGAGGTGTTTATTCTTGAAAGCACCTTCAAGGAACTTTTTGTTTCAGCCAATTTTGAGGTCATACCTATTAATCGCTTTATCTGACACCCTCCCCCTGGTAGCAGCTTGTGACATAAATAGTTCTGGATAAATAATTAGTCTCTTTTTGCTTATAATGTAGGTCATAAAGCTGCATTTGTATTAGTTTCAAGTAGCTTTTCTACATTGAAAAATTCCCTTTAGTAGCTTTAATCCTTTCAAGCTGTTATTCAAACCTTATAACCTCTTTTAATTGTCCATCATTTGTGGTTTTATAATAATGTTCAAATTCAACATTTGCAACATTTTTATTAAAGGACAACACCTAATTTAAAAAAACTCAAACACAGGTGAAGACAAACCATTCAACAGTAAAGATGACCTGGTTAACTAACACTATCCATCCCAAGTTAATAATGTGTCATTTCCCTCATTGGTTATTGTTTGTAGCCGGTTCCTCTGCATAAATAACAAGCTTAGTGAGTTCAGTGAGTGTGAGACACCTGCTGTGAACTTCCAGGCTAAATGAGCAGATTTGAGTCACATTGGATTATGTCAGAAACACCTTTGACCCACATTTTACGAGGCCACCTGACAAATGTAGTTTTACTTTGCAACCACTAGAGGAAGCTGTGCATAATGTAACCATAAGGATTATCACCTACTCAGACCGATATTATAAATCATGTTTTTTTGCCGGTAGAAAACGCACTTAGAAGCATTTTTGGATGGACATAAAGATTTATTTTTTCTATAAATTGACATTTAAAAGTTCCCACAGTGTCTCTATGTAAAGATATGCTGTGAAAATGGCTCCCATCCTTCCTCTGAGTGATCTGTTTGACCCACTAAGCTTGTTCATGCCTGAGGGGGAAGCAGGGTGTGTGTGTGTGTGTGTGTGTGTGTGTGTGTGTGGGCGGGTGATTAGGTTTCTAGGTTTAGACAGATGATCTGCTAGTGAGGAGGTCAATTTGTGAGCACAAAAGATTGAGTTAACAGAGAAGACTGAGTGTTGTCATTGTAACTCTGACTGTGCCTCCCCCCTGATAGACACTTAGAGATATTCATACTGATTAGATAATCAATCACACACTTTCTCTGACTGGTTTAATTATCTTAAAGACATAATTTTATAATAATAATAATAATAATTTTATTTATATAGCACCTTTAAAAACAGAAGTTTACAGTGCTTAGACAACAGTTGTAAGCACAGAGCATCAGCACATTGAAAATAAAAACACATCAAAACAAAAGCTCAGTTAAAAACAGGCCTCTGAATTGTAGGCCTGTTTCACTTTTCGTAAGAAACCCAGGCAATACAAGAACCCTACAAAATAAATGGGACCATGAGGACCAAAATAAAAGCAAAAAAAGAAATAGAAAAGGAGGGAAGAAAACAGGCTAGTAAGTATAAAAGAGGATATTAATAATAATATTAAAATCATGATAAAATAAAATGATGGTAATATAAATGATAAAGTGGAATTAAATATATATATATAAAATAAAGGAAAATGAAAACATTAAAATCAATAAAAAGATTATAAGTAAAACAGAGGCTAAAAAGGCAGTAAGTCTAAATAAGAAAGAGGTGAAAGAGGTAAAAGAAAAATTTTGGACTTCTTCCCTCAATAAATGAATTCAACAATACAATCATTTAAGATCTCTGACTGTTAAGGCCCTGAGACTTTCCCTCTAGCACCACCATGAGGTTGACTTTGTCTAAGCAGATAATGCAAAGAAGATAGAAAATGAAAAAAAGTCCTCTGGCATGACTTATCGGTGGATTATTTTGCATTGTGGGCTTTTAATCAGGAAAAGGAGGTTGAGTCATAAGCATTTATTGATCTGATATGATATGACGTCTGTGACCAGGTTACCAATGTCCCTTTTGATATGAATTAATCAGTGTTTTTATTGGGTTATGACCAATAAGAATTAAGTTCTCAGTGCTGAAGGAAGCCAGGTGACTTTTCTCTGTATAATCAGGTTTGAAATTCTCACATCAATCTATATAATTTTGTATGTTACATAAAGCTATGAGACAGTACTGTTACAAATCAAGACACAAATCGAGCTGGACTGGACTGTAGGTTTTTGTGGATTGGAGCCCTGAAAGGATGAGCAATATCCTAAAGTGAAGCAAAGAAGAGTCGTATTTTAAGTGTCCTTCATGTTGCCTCGGATGCTAAAAAAAAACTTTGCCACAGAGTCAACATATCCTTTTAGTGGGTTTATTAAATTCAATATACAGAAACAAGCTTCACACACTCATATTGTCTAAGTTAGACAGTTATAAAGATTATGATGTAATCTATTTGAGTTGAATGTTCCTTTGATTCTAATCCCTGCAGAAACAGATAGGACAGCACCCTCCCCCCGACACACACACACACACACACACACACACACACACACACACACACACACATATGGTCCCTCTGGCTCCCATGAACACCATATGGGCTGATCACACAGCTCAGGGTATTAGTGGTAAATTGGCTGCATGGGAGCAGTGCTGTTTCAGGGTCACCAAGCTCTCTCTGTATGTTGACACTTCCACAGTTAATGACTGTACTATAAAACTGTGAAAGCCTAATAAGGGGTAAAGTCCACAACAAAGTGCCAGAGTGATAATATAGCATTGGAGCTCTGCATTGAGATGAACTCACTTCAAACTTGGAATTTAAGACATTTTTTTAACTCAAAGTAAATGTTGAGTAGCCCTGAAATACTGCTTTTTCAATGATATTAAACTTTGGTGTGTTTTAGCCCCTCCACCCTCCTGTAGGTCCCTCTAGATTGCTGCTGCAGACCTCCGCCCATCTCCCTCTCCCCTCTCTAAACATAACTCAGTCTCAGCAGATGATTGCTTAACATGAGTCTGGTTGTGTTCGAGGTTTCTGCCTATGAAAGGAAGTTCTTCCTCTCCACTGTAACTTGCTAAATGCTGCTAAGTGCTACACTCATGTGGTTGAGGATGGGGACCAATGTGATCCTGTCTTTACATTGGGTCTTTGTAAAGAGAGTCTGGTCTACACCAGCTCAGTAGACCAGGTTAACGTGATATTTTTGGGTTTATCCAGTTTTTAAATGAAACCACATGCAGCATTATCAGCTGCTTTAGCTGTCTCTTTGTCAAGTGCCAAATCCCTTTTGTATTATCTCTGAAGTAACACTACTCCATCACTGTGATGTTGGCAGTGATGCATTTACCACTCACCCTGCTAGCCTATCAACTTGGCTCCTTTTCCTGCACGATCTGGTCTTTTTGGAAACTGTAGCACTGTTTACCACACAGCCTGTTCTGGTGTCTGGACTCAGCTTCACGTCTTTGTATCTAAACAAGCTTGTCAATGAGATGTACAACCTTGTTTACTCACAGAACATGCTTTTGGGCTTACCTGCAGGTGATTGTCATTTCAACAAACAAGTTTTCTTAACTTGTTTAGTTAAAGCTCCTGTAGGGGATTTTGTCCATTGTTGCCTTGCGAACTCGGCTGCCTGATTTTTTAACTTCCAACCAGCAGAGGGCTTTTTTTTTTCTACCTTTGCCCTGCAATTGACTACATATTTATTGAACTAGTCATGCTCATGGTAGAAGGATTAAACAGTGATACAACACCTCTGCTGATTTGAGTTAGTAGATTGTGATGGATCCAGTGATGAACATTTTTAAACATGATTGAACTGAAGTGTTAGCTGTTATCAAAGAGTAGCATGGCAGATTTATCTACCTTGAAATATGGAAAAATGTCTTTATTACAATAGTCAGAAACCACAAGAAATGACCTCAACACTAAACATGTATCTTTCAACCTTCCCACCCAATGAGAGCTGACTATATTTAATGACATCTTAAGATCTGATGGCGTTGCAGCAATTAAAGATCTCCAATTGGCTCCTTATCTTTATTTGACTTGAGGAATTTTCCTCTTTCAAGACTGACATGTCCTGGACCATCCACATCCAGGGACCTTCCCCTGCCCTGACTGCCAAAGGCTCATTCCTTCACAGTTTAGATGAAGATCTTTGACCTTAGTGAGACACAGCTTCTCCTCTTTTCTCCTTCTTTATCTCCCTCGTAGAGTTTGTTTGCTTTCCCCTATCAGTCTGAGAAGGTGTTCCTGAGCTTTGCCTCTTATGGGTTTGTTCAGTCTGTCTCTTTACGAGTCCGCAAGGTACAGAGGAGATTGTATAAACCAGGTCTTGTTTTTAACACCCCAGCCAACACCCCACATTCTACTTTTATATGTGTATAAAAGGTTCAAATCTTTTAAAGAAATTTGACTTACTGATGTTTGTTTGTGATTTTCAAAATAGCACTGCATCGATAAAAAAATTGACAAACTGAATAAAAATGAATCGATGTTTCTTTCATTTCATCCCAAAATCTTCGACTAGTACGTCTTTATGACAGCTAATATATCACCCAGCCCTACCCATAGGTTTATATCAGTTGTAACAGACTGTGCTACACCCATATGTCTGGCAAATTGATTATTTGCTAACAAGTTATAGTTAAACAATGGCCTGATTGAGACATCTATGTTGAATATTAACTAACCGCCCAAAATTAGTGCCTGTATCTTTTGGGATGATTCAGTATATCGCTTTATTTATCAAGGCATGAGATTATAATGCCCATCAAGAATCTTGTTAAGAAGACCAATTTACTTCTCTTTGACGATTTTTATATCACCATATAATAGCCGATGTTGTTGGACCAGAAAGAGCAGCTTTTCTTCTCTGGAGAGGTCATGATGTTTACTCTTCAGCCAGGCGTTGCCATGTGGTCAGGGTCATGTGGGAAAAAAGAGCCTCGAGCTCACCATCCCCTGGGAAAGAGTGCATCCCAGCAGCCCATGAACAGAAACAGCTGAAACACGAACAGGCAGAGCAGTGCAAAGAGACTGGCTGGAGAGTGAAGGTTTCCCCAGTTGAGATTGGTTTCATGAGGTTTTGTCAGCGGTCAATGTTGGCATGACGGGATCTGACTTACGCAAAGTTTTGAAGGGGCTCAGGAAAAATGCAACACAAGCAGGTAGACAGGATAAAAGACTAGTGTGACCTTCATTCATATAATGTAGCTGCTTTTTACTCTTCTCTGCTCATCACCATGCCATTTTCTGCTCTACTATCTATACTGGACATATCTGCTCACCATACAACAGAGTAAAACAAGGATGGGCATTTCCAGTAAGTTCTCTGTGGTTGTCTAAGTTGTTGTCCACCATAATGATGGCTTGAACATCAGCTCACAGAAGCCTTCACCTTCTACAAAACTTGATGGGATCATGTCTCCAGTCACCATTTTTTTTATTAGATGGCTAATCTTCTCCACTCAGGGGAAGATCAGGCCCGCAAACACTGTGATGCGTACTGCACATCGTCAGTTTCTGCAGCCTTTCCTCAGAGCTTTATGTCACCAGTGCTTGGAGTCTGTTAAAGCGGGTCTGTTGTAAAGACAAGCAAGCTAACAAGTGGCCTGTGGATATTCTGCAAGCTCAGCTCTTGAATTTGACTTTCACATTACTCATTTTAATTTTAAATCTGGTGATTGGCTCCTGTTTTGATAGCGTCTTTGTGTCATCTTAGCCCAAATTCTGATTAGCTATAGCTGGTAATAATGACTCCTTACGCATTAACCTTACTCATAGTTGTCATAAGACAGTGACTTTTTTCTTGCCATGTTACAGCAATACAACTTTTTCCAATAATACTATGACTTTATTCTTGCAACATGAATTAATCCTCAATATATTTACTTTATTTTTCCATGTTGTCAACTCTATTCTTGGCTGCAGTGTTCCAACAATTAATCAAAGAATAATTTGCATGAGTTGCATGCTCCATTTTCCAAAACCTGCTACAAAATAGGTCCCACTTTTAAAGCAAAACTCAAGTTTTTCATAAGGGCATGTGTGAAATGAACAATATATTCAACAGTGCATATGAGGAAGGCCTTATGCTTGTTAAAGTTGTCTTAATTAGCAGCACACTGATGGTTGAATCAGCTTTTCTGAACTAAGGACTAAAAACCAAACTGATGCGGTAGCCCTTAAAACTGTGGAAATGCTAACTTTTACAGCAGAAATATACATCTTTAAAGGTAAAGTACTCTGTAAAACCATTTCAGATATAACTTCAACCTGTACAAACATTGTTCTGAAGCGCTGAGCTAAGATCAGTCTGTGTTGAGTTAGAAGGAGGGACTCTTTATCATCTGCTGCAAACAAGAATTTAAGACCTTGTGACTTATGTACATATCATACAAATATATCACCATCTCATAAAATGAGCAAACAACTTTGGTCAACATGAAAGTAGTTACACAACTGACATCTGGGATTCAGACAGAAAGCCTGAGCCATTATTACTATCATGATGATGTAACAGCATGTCACAGGAGTCAGGTGTCATGATAAGGTAAGGAAATGATTTGTCGAATGTAAAGAGATTTCACAGTGTCTTCATCAGCTCTTTTCATCCATTTAGAGTTACCGTGTGAGTAGATCCAGCCCCAATACAACCAGATTACAGGTCATAAGAACAGTGTACATGTGGTTTTAAAGTTTTTATTCAAAAGGATGATCAGGAAATAGAGCTCCACATGCATTCAACGCACGTATCAACGCTTTCAAATACCATAAAAATAAAGACTTGGCTTTAAGAGAAAAACTGTTTTTTTTAATCAAACATCATCATCCACATTGATATGTAAAGTTTTTATCCAGTTTTAAAGCAAAATATTTGTCTGGAAATAGAAAAAACAAACATAAAAATATCAAAAAACTAAATTTCTGTTTAAAAAAAAAAAAAAGACCGCTTTTTTTTCACTTTGAATTTTCTTCCTCAATTACAACCAGACAATCAGAGCAAAAAAGTCATCAACTTAATGTTGTTGTTTTTTTGTCATCATTTGTCTTGCTTTTATCCTGATTTGAGCCCAACAGAGTATTTCATAGAGTCCAGTCCAGATTATGGTAGATTGACTTGAAGATTACATCAGTTTTACAGCTACGTTGGTTTGGCAGAAACTCATCTCACACCTTTCCAGTTAACTTCAGCACACCAAAGATGCCACCACCTGAAAAAGAAATACACTTTTTAGTGTTCAGCATCCTAAACAGAACTTTGAAACTGTTCCAGTTCAGCCTTGTAATGCCTCCATGAGAACTTTAGTCCCCTTTACCCCATCCACAAGTTTTCAGTTTCTCCAGCCACGCCTCTTTTCCATATTCAAAAAACATCCATTTACAGCCCTCCTTTGTTCTTTTACAAACTGTCTCATATGTTTCACTTCTCTCTCTAATTTATTATCTGACATTATAACACAGCGCTCTTAAATACTTGATTCTGATTGGCCAATACATCATAGAAACAGTCTGTTCTTTCTTTGTAGCACACTGTTGCTATGGAAGAGACTGTTGCTAGGGATTACTTAATAGCCAATTAGGCCCACATCAAGAAATAAGAATGGGCAGATATTTCTGGAATAAAGTTGTGAATTTTCAAAGCCATAAATTTTCGAGACTAAAGTCGTACATTTACTTTAATTAAATAACCTATAGTGGCAACAACAATACGTAGGCTCTGGCAGCAGGACAGGAGCCAACCTCTGCATGTACGTGGATCATCTTATGAAGTTATAAACAACAGCTGAGGGCAAACCATGGCTGCAGAAGCACACCATTGGTCTTCACCACAGACTCAGTATCCTTTACAATCCTGGCACTAATGAAAATGTAGTGTTGCTACGTGAAGAGATTGGGTATTTATGATTTATGTATTTTATGGTGCTTCTATTAATATATAACCGCACATGTTCCTGTTCATCGCTTTTTTATTTTTAGTGAGGCTGTCATAAAGACTTCTTTGTTTTCTTTCAAAAAATAGATTTAAAAAATGGTGGGATTGATAAGGAAGGGACACCAAATGATAACCATTCTTAACTGTAATGCCTAATCTTTATTGATCATCCTTGTTAATGAATCACAGGATAAAATGTAATTGAAAAAAGACTTACCGACAGCAGCCGCCCCGGCTATAGAGCCGATGGTAATACCAGCTATCTCCCCTGGTGTAAATCCAGTGGCACCGACAGGAGGTACTACTGTAGTGCTGTTTGAAGTGGTTGAAGTTACTGAAGTCATGACGGTTGTGACGTTAGTTGGGGTTGTTGGGGGGTCCACAGATGTGCCATTTGATGGTAAGTCTGTTGATGGGCTTGTCATGTTGACATCGGGTTCTGTGGGATTAGATGTAGCTACAGGTGTGGACGATGTTTGTGCGACTGTGGAATTTGAGGTGGTAGCTGGCTGAGATGATGGACCAGTGGTTGGAGCAGGGGCTGATGATGACTGTGCACCACACAGAACCGCTTTGTGGAGGCAAAAAGAAAACATACAAGCAATGAGCAATGACAACATAATTCAGCTTTTAGTATAACAAGTTTAAAGCTTTAGTAAGGAGTTTTTCGATGCGTATGAAATCAACTGAAATTTACACTGATGCCTTTTTATGATATCAAAAGGCAAACAAGACCATCAGGGACAGGACTGGCCCTTTTATATATCCTACTTTCCAATGCCTGAAACTGGTACAAAGGGGGTCTGTGTCAGCCAAGCTGCTGGAAAAACTCTGTTTTAACAATATCCATAAAAAAAATATATGTTTTTTTAAAAATGACACATTTAACTATCAATAGTCAGCAAGATGAGACAGATATTTTTTCATCAGAAAACACAACTTGAGCATGGAGAACAACTTCTTTGTCCACAGGGGGTGCCAAAACTGGCAGAAAAGTTCCTCACAGGAGATTTAAATCCCTCAGATGACATGATGCACAACAAACTTTGACAGGAACTGAGTTTAATATTTTTTGAGAGAGATCTTTCTATTGTTTGGTTTACTTTTAAAAAGTCCAGTTTTTGAAATATCTTGAGCTGTGCAGATTAAAAAGCACACAACCAAATTTAATTTCAGCTTTTATTTTGAAAAACCACACCAACGTTTTTACTGTTGTAGCAGGTAAACTTGATATAAAAATGTCAAAATGGTTGTTGTTACTTCAATAAAATGGCATCCAATTAATCCTAATCGACACTTTTTTTGAATAGATACTGGAGTGTCAGCTATGGTCCTGGACAAGGTCGTAGATTATCAGTCTCTCAAATCAGATGAAAGATTTTTCTTAAAAACAGATTGAAGTTCAAGGTTTGCATTCTAGTTTTTTTTTTTTTTATATATACATTTACGTCCATTTTGGGTCCCAATCTATTTAAAATATTATTTATGTTACAGTGATACAAATAATTTTAATGCAGACGATACAATAAATAAATAAATAAAATTTAGCATAGAGAGCAGGAAGTAGGTATCTGTCGCTCAAGGTCTGAGAGGACAGTGAAAGATGAAGGTCAGTTTGTTTGGGGGAAAAAAGGTAATGAATGTGTCAAGAATCTAATATTCATCTCTGGAAATGCTGCAGTGTGATTCCTCTCTGGTCTGGACTATCAAAGACATTGAGCACATCACTGTGTCTTTTATTAGAAAGTTGTTTTTTTCTTCCTTAGATGACTGAAAACTGAAGCCTTGGTTTATCTTTCTAGATAGGGTCTTCTTGTTTATGTTTCAAAGACATATTCTGTTTTTTATATATTGTATTATAAATAAGGGTAGTATCAAAGATAATAAGCCTGATGATCTTTGAACCAATAAACCCTATTTCATTTGCCAACACTGATTGCAACCAACCTACATAGCAAACAGTTTCAGACTTTATGACCTTTATCTTTAAACCTCCACCTATTATCATTTATCATGATAAAAATATGCATCAACATTATTTAGAATAAAATAGGGCTGACACAGAAAATGAGATGACATTTGACAAACAAAACCTTTTCTAGGTCACCTGAATGTTTACTGTGACTCCGAACCAATACTTAAAAAAAAAAACTTCCTTGTCATAAAATTGTCACTGAAATTAAGATAAAGCTGTTCTCACTGGCACACTTCCTCAAAATAAGAAGTCACAGTGGCTTTTACAGTATTTTATTGCAGTAATTGAATTAAGTTGTAACTTTTATCCCTCTCGTGTGATCGTGGACTGTTTCATTTTAAGATTTCACATCAACTCTGCTCATGATCCCTGAAACGTCCTTTTTTTGGTTGTATAATCTCACTGATGTTTGAACATTGGTAGAGATTTGGGATGAACCATGACATGAAGGCAGACTTTGTTAAGATGCTTTATATTATACTGTATACTTTCTAGATTAATTAGCATCGATTAGCTTTAAAAAGATCAACTTCTAGATTTCAGGCTGTGACACAAAGACAAAAGCACATTTGACTAAGATAAATTAAAGTTCCTGTGTGGAGCTTTCTGGAACCACCTCTCCTGCTTTTTTGAGCTTGTCCTTTACACATGGGAAGTTGCTATAATAGTGAAACACACCACCCACTGTGAACGTATGCTGTAAATATTTCTTTGAAAGGTTATATATGCACTTGCGCTGACACCTATCCCCTGTCACAGTGGCTTTAGGCATCCAGTACAACAAGGTAAAGATTGCCAAACTTGTTGATGGTCTTGTTAGCTTTAATGGCATTTATATAATTGTAATTAGGGGGAAAAAAAATCAAATATGCCTCCAAGTAGCCAGGTGTTATAAAGTAAAACTGACTAATAATGTCAGTCTCTTTAGTTGCTTGTAGTTATTAATCTAAACTGCAATTAATATAATAATCGTGAAACCATTCACTGCATAGTAACCAAGTACAATTAACCTCAATAATCAGTTATCCCTTTTATTATAGACTTTGTTTTGTCAAGATAAATATTATTCTTACCTGTGCCAAGAAGGCAAAGAGTCAGTAGTGGAAGATGCATTGTCAAAGAGTGAAGTCCTAATACAGCAAAAACACCAGGAATCAAAATCACAGTCTTTAAAAGAGGCTCTCTGAGCTGCAAACTGTGCTGTAAGAAACACAAACACACCAAATATACATTATATTAATGTCTGCTGTTCAGCGCACAGTCAGTGCATGTGTTATCAATCTTATCTGTGACATGGGGCTTTATCTGTCGCACAGGAAATTTAGTCTCACTGTATGCTGTAAAACATATTCATTCTACAATTGGTGTTAATAGTGTTCGGCAGAAAGACACT